AAACATTGTCAACATAGTTTACATTACTGCGTTATGATCCAAACAGCTTTCCTGAATTTCAAGATAAACATGTGTCCACTGCATATGACTCATATGTGTTGCACCAAATAATCTTTACAAGGTCAAAACGTGATGTATTAAACAAATTCCCACAAGTATGAGAGTCACTGGAAACAATACAGAACTCTTATGAGATTAGAAACACTTATATAGGATTTCATTAAGAGGCTCTGTGGCTTCAAGAGTACTGTTGCATTGTTTTCCCAACATTTATATTGCATTATCTTCAAATTAAATATTCCCACTGCACTCCTTTGGGCCCTATTTTCATTCAACAACATTATCACCATTTCTGTGTTAGTGCTTAGCCTCCATTAATTGCTTCTTAAATCTATTTATATATATATATATATATATATATATGCCTAATACAGCTTAAATAAGTAAGAGGACCACAGTTATTAAAGTTACGGATATTGTCGTGTGTTTCTCTGACTGTGTGTGAGAGTGTGTGTCATACAAACCTGCAGACACTGTCTGAGAGTGTGTGTGTGTGCACTGATAAGTGATCTCCCTGGAGACAGGAAGGTCACAGCTCTGTCAGTTCAATATTGACACTGTGTGTGTGTGTGGTGTGTGTGAGAGAGCATATTTGCGTTTGTGTGACTGATTACATTGGGATTTTGTGTAAACAAACGGAGATTTTAGCTAGTGTGGCTTTCAGCACGTGTGTTTCTGTGTGCGTGACTTAGCGTTGTGTGAATGCTTTCCCAATGCACTTTCATATGTATTCACCTACCTGTGAAAGAAGAATTTGGTGGTTTCTAATACCTTTCCTTTAATGATTCCTGCTGTATGATACTGGCATGCATCTAATATACAATATGTTAACTTTAAGCTGCAGTGTTATATACTTTAACTTGTTATTTTTATATAAACATTTTTTTAATCTGATCTTTTGTGGACATTTTTACTTTTCATGTTTATATAAATATATATATTTTTTTATTGTTACTGCATATTATTACTTTAAATTCTAATGTTTATATATTTATATTTATTCTACTTTTTTTTTTTAACTATATCATATGTAGCATCTGTCACAAAACAAAAGTTCCTCCGGGATAAAAACTAAATATTCAGATTCTGCGTTAATTCATACAGCACAGATAATGATACAATCCTCAATTTCTTTCTGTGGTTTTGAATGTGTGTGTGTGTACGTGCGTGTGTGTGTTCATACGTTGTTTGTGTTTGTGTGTGTCTGTGTGTGTGTGTGTGTGTGTGTCTGTGTGTGTGTGTGTGTAGCACCAGCAACAGGTGGTCCAAGCAGTGGAGAGGGCCAAGCAGGTCACTATGGCTGAACTGAACGCCATCATCGGGGTGAGTCACCTCCATTCTCCTCTCCAACACAAACCAAATAATTAAATATGTGATGTATGATGGTACGTTCTGATCATGTTAATTGTAAAGTCAGTCAGGCAGCAATTATTTTACTGGCCACTGATAAAGAGCTTTGTATCAAAGTCGTTTTTTCTAAATGAAAATTGGCCTTTAAAGGATTATTTTGTTTGAGGTTTTAATTTTGAAGTTTTCTATTTGAGAACCAATCTGTTAGAATCAGATGTTAATCAGCATCTCATCCAGAGTTGAATTTATGTTTTGTGAAGTCTAATTCAAAGATTGTGACATCAGAAAATAGAGGTGTTGCATCCTGTTCTCTTGGACGATGCTATCAGTTTCAAATTAAGATGCAATGAGTCACTGTTCCAATTAAAGATGCTCTGGAGCAGCTTCTAATCCAAGTTCTCAACATGGTGCATTCACTTGCTCCTCAGATGGTTTTGAAATTGTTTCTCCGACTTCGTTTGTTCATGAGCTTTAAGTTGTAATGTGGAAACTTCATGGACGACCAACAGATGATGTTTGGCATATCATTGCTCAGAGCGTTTAACTAACACATTAATATATATATGTGACCATGTTTCACCCTTTCCACCTAGTTTCACGAAAATCAGGCCATTCTTTTTTTCTTTAATAATAATAATTTAAGACAGACATAAAGAAAATAAGTGTACCTTCCTTGGCAGATGTAAATGATACAAATGTAGTTTCTGACTACAACAAACTCTGCACATGCGTTTTTCTCAAATGTGTTAAAAAAAGTGAAATACATCGGTGAATGATATCAGATCAATCAGCTCTGATTGTGGTATTGGTATACTGATCACATTACTGTCTACTTATATAAATACAGTATGGGGTACACTGCTATTAAGACGCTCTCTCTGAACAGACATTTCGTGTAAAAATGACGCTAACATACAAACTAACACACGTAAGAGAATAAATTCCTTAATTACATTGATACAACACTCCTAAAATCGCATTTAATACTAATAAGTTACAATACATATAAGGCACACACACAGACACGCACGCACGCACGCACACACACACACACACACACACACACACACACACACACACACACACACAGACACACACACACACACGCACACAGGCGCACACGCACGCACACACACACACACACACACACACACACACACACACAACCAGACACAGCACACACCATCACAGGCACACAGGCGCACACACACACACACACAGACACACACACACACACACACCACACACAAACACACACACACACACAGACAAACACACACCACACGAAACGCACACGCACAAACCACACACACACACACACACACACACAACCCACACACACACACACAAGACACACACACACACACGCACGCACAAACACCCACACACACACCACACACACACACACACACACCACACACACACACACACACACACACACACACACACACACACACACACACACACCACACACACTCAGTGATGCTCCTGAGAGACGGGGCTTTCCAGAGCTTGTCGGAGCGCTGATCACATTACTGTCTACTTAAAGCCTTTTGTTCCTCCCTGCACTACAAACACTGCTGTCTCTGAGGTGTGTGTGTGTGTGTGAGTGTGTTAGACACACCAGCTTCGACAAAACAACACACGAAAACACATCATAATGCTCCCCTCAGGATAATAGCCTTTCTTTATCTGTAGCTGCTCCTCTGCTCTCTTTGCTATCCCCCATCATCCTCTTTCTCCAGCTTTTTTCTCTGTTCATTTTCTTTCCGGATTTTCTCATCCCTCCTTTTTTTAATCTTTTATCCTTCTGTCCCTCCTTCCCTGTCCTCATTTATCCTCTCTCATTGTTTTTGGCTCCGTCTTATCTTTTCTCTCTCCACTGCACACGTTCCCTCCCTCTTCCTGAGCTCATTCACCCTCGCGCCCTATCTTTTCCTGTTCATTTAAAGTGGACCTATCATGCTATATTTGAATAATATATTGTAGGACCATACCTATATAAGGCATATTTATACGTTTTCTTTTTCAAAATACCAAACAGATCATGCATTTTAGCCATGCCTCATTTCGCTCTATTTTGCTCTCCTCCACCCTGCTGACCACGCCCCCCTGCAAAGGAGGGGGCCGAGTTACGAGCGTCGTGTTACCATGCTGTTACCATGCTGTTACCATGCTGTTACCATGCCACGGCAACCTCTCATTCCTCTGATAGGTGGAGAGTTGGCCATATAGGCGGAGCTCCTCCGTCTTGACGTCAGAGAAATGTTCAAATCTGGATCAGTTTTTATCAGATCCGTTGCAGCCCCGTTTTTAGAGATTTGGGTATGGAGGAAAATAGAGAGGGTTGTGTTTTCTGACACTTGGTGAGTTCCCTGGAACACCGGGGACACATATTCATGTATAAAAGACGTACAAAAGTGCATTTTGCATGATAGGTCCCCTTTAAGGTCCTTCACTGCCTCCTCCGTGATTTCCCTCTGTTCCTCCCGCTCATTTTCTTCCCCTCAAATGTCCCCTCTCTGCGCTCTCCCTTCTCATCCTGCCATTCCTCTGTAATGTATCCCATTTCTTTCTGCCACTTACCATCTCCTCTTTCTTTGCTTTCTCTGTGTACCCTGACCATTTAATTTCCCTCTTCCTATATGTATTTCCTTGGTGTCCATCTTTATATCCCTTTAATCCAATAATCTGTATATCTTTCTTCCTCTTATTTTCCTCTCTAATTGCTGAGCTCTCCATGTGGATTTCATTTCATTCGCCTTCTCACTTTCTTTCTATCCCCCGTCTTCTCCATCTCCTTTGTTCTTTGCACTTCCTTTTCTAATAAGGCCCTATTGTGCCTTTGGATGTTTCCCTTTCCTGTAATCTGTTATATAGTGAAGTTAGGCAAGGTATATTGTATGTATATAATATGCTTACCTCCGTAACATGATGACATCATTATGCAACACTCGCGCTTCTATTGGCTAGCGACCAACCCAACAGCTAACCAACAGACTGGGCTCTGGTTTCAGACAGAGGGTGAAAAGAGGAGGTATATCAAAATAAAGAGCTTTTTGAACATTAAAGCATGGACACATGTCACAGTAAATACTCATATGAACCTTAAAAGAGCATAATGCACAAATATGAATGCAGAAGTTGATAGGTACATCAGTAGAAAATAAGCTTTGGAACAGAGGCAAATGGAATACAATACATCAAAGTAACACACGCATATAGGCTATATAACCCTCTAGTTAAAGGGGACCTATCATGCAAAATGCACTTTTGTACGTCTTTTATACATGAATATGTGTCCCCGGGGTGTCGGGGAACTCACCAAGTGTCAGAAAATACAACCCTCTCTATTTTCCTCCGTACCCAAATCTCTAAAAACGGGGCTACAACGGAGCTGATCCAGATTTCCATCCGCTGTGACGTCATAGCGGCGGCGGACCCACAGAAAGTTGCTATCAGAAACAATACCTGACGTGTTTTGGACGTAATCTCGTCTTTGTTTACATTAGCAAGCCTCGCTAACACTCAGAGCTAACCTGTACTGGAGAGCACATGTGTTTAAAAAGCAGGACATAAAAAAAGAACTCACCTTGTGATAAACCTGCAAGAGAAAAAGCATTTGAGCTCCATACTGTTTCAGAAATAATCCTTGACGTGGTTTAAACAGGATGGCGTTTTATCACAGCAGAACTTTATCTCCGGTAGAATTCTGATCAGGCATTAGCTCCGCCTCCTCTTTTTAATTTTTTTTCAAGCTAAGGACCCAAAATCCGCGTTTCTCTAACAGGGCTGCAAAAGAGGGGTTTGACCAGTATGAGGCATGGCTACAATGGGTGATCTGTTTGGTATTTTGAAAAGAAAACTTCACAGACATGTTTTATATAGGTATGGCCCTACAATATATTTTTCAAATATAGCATGATAGGTCCACTTTAAGCTACAATGAACACAACAAATAAAATCAAATCAAAATGTATTATAGCCCCAAATCACAAGAAATGCCTCAAAGGGCTGTACAAAGCAAAGACAAAAACAAAATACAAACGTCATAGCATAAAAATTAGAAAAACATGGGAGAGAGCAACAAAGAAACAATGCAAAAAGTTATGTAACAAAATAACCAAGGGGGTACGAGTTAGCCACCAGAGACTATACTTATAGCGATCATTCTCTTCTTAATCACAGTATATGAAGTTCAAGACAAGTTACCACCTCTTTGTGCGAAGTGTGTGTCCCATTGAGTGAACGTCCCTGTTCTTTGCACTTTCTCATGCTTCGATTTCTTTACCTTGTTTCTTCTAACCTCCCACCCCGTTGTATTCCACCATCTCCCCCTCCCCTCTCCCTCCTCTCCCTGTGGCCACAGCAGCAGCAGCTCCAGCACCTGTCTCACCACACCCCCGGCATCCCCCTCACGCCTCACCCCTCAGGCCTCTCCCTGGGGGCGGGGGGGTCAGGGCTGCTGGCACTGACCGGCGCCCTGGGGGTCTCGGCCCACCTCGCCTCCAAAGATGAGCGAAACCACCTCGACGCCGAACATCTCAGAGGTAAAGAGCCGTCGAGTTTTCAATCTCAATCTCAATCTTTACTTATTTATATAGCACATTTCAAACAACCTCAGTTGACCAAAGTGCTGTACAGGCAATAATACAATACGAAATAACACAATGGGAGTACAATAATAAAACAATAATTAAAAACGTGATAAAAAGCACAATAACTAGAAACATATAAAAACACATACGAATGTAAAAATGTTATGTTCAACTAGTATTAAAAGCCAGTGCAAAGAGGTGAGTTTTTAGCTGAGATTTAAAAAGAGTTTTAGTCCTTGATGTTGGCGGATTGTGACTTAAAGGTCCCATGTCATGCTTTTCTGGTTATTACCCGTCCCCTTGTGTGTTATGAAGGTTTTTCGGCATGTACTGTAAACGGTCTGCAGAGTCACTACCCCTCAAAGTACACCCTGTAGCGAGTAAAACTCTAACACAGAAAAGACCTGTCTATGCTGCCCCAGAACACCTCGTTGGAGATTTCTCTTTTTCTTCCTGGGTACAGTGACGTGCCCATACCCAAATGGACCAATCCGTGGAGCCGTTACGTTACGTCCGCGGAGCCGTTAGGTTAAGTCCGCGGATTGGTCCAAATGGATCAGCTGCAGCTCCGCCGATTTCTCCTCCCTGAGACGGCGGGACGGGGTGAGGCTGTGAGTCGGTGTGTGAGCACACACACAAACTCCCAGCCAGGCTGCGGGTGTGTGTGTGTGTTCGGGCTGGTTTCGGGCTGGGTTTCGCTGTCTCGCATACGGCCACTGGGCTCATAGGGAGGGGGGGGCAGGAGCTCCAACAAGCCGTTTAGGACAGAGAGTGAATACACATACTATACAGAGATGCTGTATGAGAAACCAATGTGAGTTTGGAAAATTGCATAAATCTATTCTAGTATACCTCAACAATGGAATTATGATCAGTAGAAATGGCCATGACATGGGACCTTTAACTTTGTTCAGGCATGCTGGTCTGAAAGAGCCAGAGCAGCGGGGAGTTAGGATTTGACATTTACACGATCTAGCCTTCTAATGAAGAAATTCAAAACTGTTTATGTTAAAAGGAAATACATCTGATCCATAGGGTTACATTCAGTGGCAGCAGGCTTCAATTACCTGGAGGACATGAGCCGTTTGAAGACTAAAAGTTCACTGGAAGTTGTCTTTAATTGATATAAGAGAAACAGCATGATATTTCCTGCAGGATTGACCAGGGCAGTTTAAAATGTGTTCAGTAAATGTGCTTTTTAGCCTGACACCACAAAAACGAATCTGCAACCTAACAGTTCATGGTTGATTTCAAAGACCGTTGATCAGCCGTAGATAAAAATGCATTTCGACGGAGCTTCAACTAATTAGAGCAGCGATACATAACGTAATTCATGGTCAATATAAAGAAAGTGTTGACAGGTTATTTTTTGAAAATCTAGGAAGTTACTCATCAGCAGCAGCCTTCTTTTTATATTATTTTTTGGGGGGAAATGCCTCATCAGCGCTCCTTCACAGTCATCGTCTCAAAAGCCCTATATTTAATAAAGTATATATTGTATTTCTTTCCAAAGGGGAGGGACACCAGACACATTTACCAGAGCAAATAAAACATGAGCTGATATTTTAATCTGGTTCCAAGCCAGGACGTTTTACTCTCTTATAGCCCTAACATATATCATATCTGCAGTTGTGTCAGGTCACAAGCTTTCATCATTGAAAATCAATTGCACTATCCAAAATGTTGATAAGAGATTTAGCAAGTTCAATACAAGCGAGGTGGAGTAACAGACTCTGGGAAATCATCCAGAATGATACCATAAGATACCCCGCATGCAAGTATAATCTTTTTCCACACAAAATGTTTGTATTTCTGTATTTACATTGAGATTGAATTTGCATTGAGATAAACTTTGACAGCAGCTACAGAATAAAAACATCATTTTATAATCTTAAACCAAAATGCAAAAGACATACATCATTTGTGACTGCCGGCGTTTGCATAATTTGTTCAGCGAGTCATCTTTTGGACTGAATTTGAACTTCCCTTTTCAGATTGACGTTATAATATGGACGGACGTATTCATGGCATGGCACTTGTGTGAATACACAAGAAACGCTTTCTCCCAGTGAACTCTCATTCACCCCAATAGAATATCTTATCTCTGCGCTCTGTTGCAGGCAGCGAGCCAAGAGAGACTTTCTCATGAATAAACCGAGAGAAAAAAAGAAGAAGGAGAAATGAGTATAGAAAGGGAACGAGATAGAGAGATCAATGTGTTCAGAGTGGCGTGCTAAGCATCTGGGTGAGAGCTTATGCATGTCTGCAGCTGTGTGTGTTTCTGTTCTTGCATACGAGGGGAAGAATGAGTGAAAGGATAGAGAGCGTTGAACGAGGCAGCGGAGGAAGACAGAGAGCTTTGTCTGAGAGGGAGGGGAAGATAAAGAGGACGCTGAAATCAGTAACAATAGCTGCTCTGTATCTTCATTAGAGAGGATAAGTTGGAGTTCAGTGCAACCTTGGCGGACTGGGGACTGTTGTTATTATTATCACCAGTGACGTCAAATGTTCTCTCTTTTTTCCCATTTTCTCTACTCTCTTATTTACCTTTCTCCGCCCCATCCCAGAGGGAGCGCCCAGCAGGGTGAGTATTCATATGTGTGCACAGTAAAGCGTCATATTTTCTGTGTTTGTGTGTGTGTGTGTGTGTGTGTGTGTGTGTGTGTGTGTGTGTGTGTGTGTGTGTGTGTGTGTGTGTGTGTGTGTGTGTGTGTGTGTGTGTGTGTGTGTGTGTGTGGTGTGTGTGTGTGTGTGTGTGTGTGTGTGTGTGTGTGTGTGTGTGTGTGTGTGTGTGTGTGTGTGTGTGTGTGTGTGTGTGTGAGACATTGATAAACTGAGGGAAATGGAGACGCACTGTAAAGTGGCCTCTAAAAAAAAAACTCTGGGTACAGCTGGAGCTCTGCCAGGAGAACGCAGCTCAACGCCAGCACAATATCTGCTCAGTGCTTTCAACCTTGAGGATTTTACAAGGTTTTTACTTCACTCATGAGCTCACAGGCGTTTCACTGTTATCTGGAACAAAGTACAAACTCAGAGAATGGATGAACAAGCAAATGTTTGCTCATCAGCGCCACAAATGTTCTGGTAATCTAGAATAATTACTGAACAAGTGAAAGGATTAAAACCAAGTTAATGGTAAATGCTGCCAAAAATACACAGCATTTGGTGTGTGTAGAAACTCCAGATTGGATCCAGTATAACACGCCAACAATATGGGAACTGTAGGGGTTATAAAAATGTGTACTTGGTAGTTGATTGAGTTTTTTAAGAAATGATCCCCTGATTTACAGATGTCTTTTTCCCAATGTAAGTCAATGGGAAAAAGTATTGTTGGGCCCTATGGCTTCACGGATTGACACAGAAGTTTTAGTACCACTACAACTACTGTATTTGCTTCAACTTCCAGAGCTCTTCCTTAATGTCAGAATAACACCAACATTCACACCATTGAGAACCATATGAAAATATGTTTCTCAGCAGACCTTGATCTTTTGCATTGATTAGGAGAGCATTCAAATACGTTTTTTATGTTGTCTATTTTCTAACTCAATTGCAAGTTGCTGAAATACTGATTTTGACATCGTGTCCTTTTAAGGTCGTAGGCAAGAACACACTTTTGCTGAACAGATTTCCTTTCAAACTTGCAGCATTTTAATTAAGTGTGAAGGTGAGATGTGACCGTATGCTGACTCAGGTTACCATAATTAATGGGTTTAAAGATAATAATAAAAACCATCCTTAGAAAAATGTAGTAAATGCAACCTGCCTCACAGGTTTTGCACACATTTTATGCCTCTATAGTTCAAAGTCCCTGTTAATCGCCTGGAGAATTAATGGAGTGCAAATCGTCTGAGTGAAATTCAGTGGACGTCTATGGCTTTCTCCCTGGCTGCAGATTTCTCTGCTTTCTGGAAAGTGTGTGAACACTCACTTACTGTAGTGGAGGACAGCTGGCCTTCATCAGTGTAACTGTTGATAACACACAGAGAGAGAGGGGGGGGGGGGGGGGGGGGGGGGGGGGGTGGAGAGTGACATTGGAAAAGGAATGAGAGAGAAGGACTAAAGAGGAAGAAAAAAAGACATAGAAAAGTAGGGAGGGAAAGGTTGTTAAAGAAAATACCAGCAAGTCTTTGTTCTGGCTTTTATTGAGAAATGAAAATGATTTAAGAGCGCTACTGATTTCACTTTCCCTCCCTCTCTCTCTGTCCGCTATGAAACCCCGAGCATAATTTAATTGCTAAACACAATGCTGATTGTTAAGCAGCAGGAACATATTTCTCATATGAGAGCTGAGGTCTTGACTGAACGAAGCCAAGTGTTACAGCATTTGGAAAAGAGGGAGGGGAGAGATGCATATCAACTGGCGTTTTCTCAAAGAGACCAGTAAAACATGTTGGAATTTTAAACGGAGGGGAAATAAAGGACAGGAGAAGAGGGGGGAAAAGGCGGAGGAGGAGGAGGAGGAGGAGAAAGCAGAGAGGGAAGTTTGTTAAGTTGCACTGAGGTCCATTGTGTGGTTTCTCCTCCGTCCAGCGCTCCTTCCTGTCGGCCCCGTGGGCTCCTTCCTGTGTGACTCATTGGTGTGTTAAACCCACACTGAGCTTGTCCCCCCCACAGGGGACAGAGAATGACAAGTGGCCCTCACCGAACCTCTGGCCCCAGCGTAAAAAAACAACACAATGCTTTGATTCGTCTTTTCTCAGTGCGAGCGCCAGGCCAGGCTGTGTTGTAAATATGCCGGCACAGCTTTATTGCCAAATAATGAGAGTCATATTTTACATTAGGACCGGTGTGTCGGGGGGGAAGAGCACTAATTAGCTTCGTACGCTGTCTTGTGCTTCTATGGCTACGGTTTAAACCTGTGCCTACGTCTGCTGTTCTCGGAGTGTGTGTGTGTGTGTGTGTGTGTGTGTGTGTGTGTGTGTGTGTGTGTGTGTGTGTGTGTGTGTGTGTGTGTGTGTGTGTGTGTGTGTGTGTGTGTGTGTGTGTGTGTGTGTGTGTGTGTGTGTGTGTGTGTGTGTGTGTGTGTGTGTGTGTGTGTGTGTGTGTGTGTGTGTGTGTGTGTGTGTGTTTGCTGCTCAGTGTGTTCTACCTTCTTTACCCAAGCTAATGTCTACAGAGCCATTGTGTAAATGCTTCTTAAAGAGGCCCTATTAAGGCAATTTTGGGTTTTCCCTTTCCTGTTCTGTGTTGTAAAGGTTTTTGTGCATGTAAATGGTCTGCAAAGGCTAAAATCCCTGTGTTCCCTCCAAAGGGAGTTTCTCTCCCACACACTCCCCCCCTCTGCCTGAAACCATTTCAACTCCTACTCCTTTGTTTACTTCCATAACATACACTGTAGTGACATCACTATGTAACACTCTTTGTTTGGCTAGCGCTCCAACACATTGTAAGTGATAGGCTAAGGGGTAGGACAACTCTGAGCAGTTGACCAATCCCAACAGAGCAGACCAGCTAACCAATCAGAGCAGACTGGGCTCTGGTTTCAGACAGAGGGTGAAAAGAGGTGCTGCAGCACAGGCAGTATGAGAAAGAGAGCTTTTTGAACATTAAAGCATGGAGACATGTAGAGACACTACATACTGATATACACCTGAACATCAGCAGGAGAGGACTCTTTAAAGTAGAGACACTACATACTGATATACACCTGAACATCAGCAGGAGAGGACTCTTTAAAGTAGAGACACTACATACTGATATACACCTGAACATCAGCAGGAGAGGACTCTTTAAAGTAGAGACACTACATACTGATATACACCTGAACATCAGCAGGAGAGGACTCTTTAAAGTAGAGACACTACATACTGATATACACCTGAACATCAGCAGGAGAGGACTCTTTAAAGTAGAGACACTACATACTGATATACACCTGAACATCAGCAGGAGAGGACTCTTTAAAGTAGAGACACGACATACTGATATACACCTGAACATCAGCAGGAGAGGACTCTTTAAAGTAGAGACACGACATACTGATATACACCTGAACATCAGCAGGAGAGGACTCTTTAAAGTAGAGACACTACATACTGATATACACCTGAACATCAGCAGGAGAGGACTCTTTAAAGTAGAGACACTACATACTGATATACACCTGAACATCAGCAGGAGAGGACTCTTTAAAGTAGAGACACTACATACTGATATACACCTGAACATCAGCAGGAGAGGACTCTTAAAGTAGAGACACTACATACTGATATACACCTGGACATCAGCAGGAGAGGACTCTTTAAAGTAGAGACACTACATACTGATATACACCTGAACATCAGCAGGAGAGGACTCTTTAAAGTAGAGACACTACATACTGATATACACCTGAACATCAGCAGGAGAGGACTCTTTAAAGTAGAGACACGACATACTGATATACACCTGAACATCAGCAGGAGAGGACTCTTTAAAGTAGAGACACTACATACTGATATACACCTGAACATCAGCAGGAGAGGACTCTTTAAAGTAGAGACACTACATACTGATGTACACCTGAACATCAGCAGGAGAGGACTCTTTAAAGTAGAGACACTACATACTGATATGAACCTGAAATGAGAATATTAGGGCCAATTTGATATCATAATCAGTACTTTATTAGATTTGTGTTTTCCCTTGTAAGTGTGTCTTTCAAAGTCTGTCTCTCAGGAAGTATTGCTAAGAGATTGTGTGTTTACAATTGTGTTTTTTCTCTTTCAGAGTAAGTCAGTGTCATCAACAGACAGTCAGCCCAATGAGGAGCGGCAGGGCCCGTCAGGAGGCTACTCCTCCTCTCAGGGAGGAGCCGAGGCCAAGAGGAGGCGCTGCGACGACAAGGAGCCTCTCCCTCCACACTCCTATGTACGTGTTTGTTCTCCTCATAAGATAACATTTAATATAGTATATAAATGATGACCATGGGTTGCAGAAGGGTAAAAATCAAGAAGTATACACCTAGATATAAAAGTTAATCATCTATTTGTGTCGCTATCTGGTTTCAATATTTCAAGTATGTTTTCTTTTTTTTATATATAAACTTCTGTTGAATTTGATTATTTTTTTAACTACTTTTTTTTCTTTTATTACTTTGAAACGTCTTTCCTGCTAATGAAAAATATCCTCTAAGCTAACTGTGGCTCATTTTAAGGTTTTTAAACATGTACTTTCCTCGTTACTAAACAAATAAATACATTTATCAATCATTAAACATATAAATATGCAACAAATTGTTCATATTAGATGCTATTAGTGTGCTATTGATGTATCACCGAGTAGTTTAAATAAAGCCACATACACACACACACACCAAAGATGTCACAAAGTGCATCTCTGTGGTCATTTAAAGGCCGCTACACACCCACCAGAGACCAAAGAACGCGTACCGAAGGCGTCCCGACTTTTACGTCAGTTACGTCGCCTGCGTCGGCTACGCCGCCCGCCTACGAACACACCGCAAATACTTCAGTTGACGAGTGGCAATAACTGTCCTTACCAGCAGCCAGCGGTAGTGTGAACAGCCAATCAGAGTGATTGCTTGGGCCGACCTTCTCTGACCTCCCGCGGCCGATTCAACATGTTGAATTCAACATGTTGAATTGGCCGCGGGAGGTGTGAAAAGGTGCCGTAAAGAGACGACGGTGCGGGACACACCAACCTGAGTAGGGCGCCGCGAATGCCCGACTGCCTCTGACGGCCTCTGACTCCGGCCATGACGTTATTGGCCACACAGGGTTCCTGGGGGGCCCGGGGCCAATTGGAGCCGTGTTTGGATGCTGGGATGGGGAAGAGGAAGGAGCCGCAGGCGATGTAGCGCCAGCAGAGAGACGGCCAAGGCAGATAGCTGTAATGAATTAGACGGCTGTGTGTTTGCGCTCGGGAGGATTGATTGACACCGGGAGTCTGTCTGTGGAACACGGCCTCCAGCTAAATCAGTTTGGCATCAACAACAGCAGCGAACCCAAATCTTCGCATTAGTTCAGAGTGAGAACAAGCACAGATAGTTTCCACTTTCTGGAGCTTTTTCCTCTCTTTCTGGCCGTCGAGCCACAGCTCCCATCTCTCTCTGTTTTCCCTTCTGCTCTGTCTCTTTATCCCCACCTTTCAATTTCACTTCTTTTCCCTCCTGTCTAGATTTTTTCTTCCAACTTATTTTGTGTTTGACTTTTTCCTCTTTCCATTCCTCTCTCTCTCTTACTGTATGTCTGTTTGCTCTTATATGTCTCTTTCTCTTTATCACCATCCCTCCATTTCACTATTCTTCCCACTCTTTTTAATTTCTCTTCCATCTTATTTCGTATTTTCTTCTTTTACTTTTTCCTCTTGACCTTCCTCTCTTTCTCTGTTTGCCTTGTCTACTTGTCACCACATCTCAATTTCTCTACTTTTCCTTCTCAATCTCTGGCCGTTTCTCAATGTCGAGTACGCTTGCTTGGTAGCACATGACTTCCGAGTCACTTCCTTCAGAAGCGAGGCAAGAATCCTTCCTGGCATTTGGAAAACGAAGAGTGGAACAGGCTAGCAAGTGTGCAGGTGTGCGTCATATGAGAGGCCCCGCCTTACATTTTCCGCCACAGATTTGGGGAAATTGGTCCGTGCGCAAAGCATTGTGGGGATTTTAAGGACGCGAAGTCTACCCATGTGCAGCCTCGAAATTTCCCACAAAACCAAGGACGCGGCCTCGGTGGAATTCCAAGTATGCTGGACATTGGAACGGTCCTGCTGCGCCACTTGATAACGTAGCATCCTTGAAATATTGGCTTGGAAGCCAATATCCTCGCGATTGAGAAACGGCCTCTGTCTTCTCGCTGTTTTTAATCATTTTACATTTTCTTTCCTTCTTACTTTCCTCTTTCGTTTCCTCTCTCTGTCTGTTTGCCTTTCTGCTCCGATATATCTCTGTCTCTTTATCAACCATTCTCAATTTCAATACTTTCACCTCTCTCTACCTTTTTGTTCCATCTCATGTTGCATTTCTTCCTCTTTCCATCCTCCCTCTCCCTTCATCTCTCTTTGTGTGTTTCTGTTTTTCTGCTCTCTGAATAGACCGTAGACGTAGCCCTGTTTTGGCTCGGTATAATTAGGTGCTGATGTCACTCCACACTGATGTCAATAGAAATATCAGGCCATGATCACATCAAAGCGCTGTTGCCATGGTGACTAAGTGCCAGAAAAAGAGAGAGAGAGAGAGATATATAAAAAGATGGCTAGACCAAAAGGGAAAATGTGCCATCAGTGGAGAAAGAGCAAGTGTGTGTGTGTGTGTGTGTGTGTGTGTGTGTGTGTGTGTGTGTGTGTGTGTGTGTGTGTGTGTGTGTGTGTGTGTGTGTGTGTGTGTGTGTGTGTGTGTGTGTGTGTGTGTGTGTGTGTGTGTGTGTGTGTGTGTGTGTGTGTGTGAGAGATGCTTGGTGAAGCAATTGGAAACAGGACTCAGAGAGACACGAGGAGAGCTGGAGCTTTGATGGCAAACACTGAGGGTTTATTTGGAGTTACGGCCGGAGAATTGACGAGACAGGTGGTGTGTCACGAGTTGACACAGCGGTTGCCAAACCAATTCTGAAGAACTCTTTCTGCAGCTCGAGGTTTTACCTAGTTCGAGTGTAATAATCAACATTCTTCATCAGTGAGACTAAACAAATATGTACCCTGAATCTAACTAGAGCTCTCGTCCATAGGAAAGAATGTGCGCCAGGGAACCTTCGTCCCTGAACAGTAAACTACTTCATGGCGGCTTGTGCTCGGTCATAAGCTGGCAACAACAATGCGCCCAAGCTGCCTCTCCTTAAGAGAGATAGCAGCAATACCCAAGGCCGTAGAACTATGCCATGGGAAAAGAGACAGTGAGAAGAGAAAATGATGAACTGTGTCGAAGGTTGAAATGATTCCCTAACAGTGTTAAATGTTGCATGGAGGACAGACAGTGGAAAGAAGCAAAGAGCAGCCAGTGTGATATTGATATATCGATCTGTGTGTATCTCCATCTTCATTATTAAAGTTCTCAATGTACACTTACAGTATACTATATCTGTATGAGGGATAGAGAGATAGAAACCAACACACCAGCTGTCTTATCTTTATGGATATGGAGACATTTGGAGAATATTTCACCTTTTGATGTCTTCTTTGCTCCTCAGGACAGTGATGGAGACAAGAGTGAAGACAATCTCGTAGTGGACGTCTCCAATGAAGTAAGTCACCTATCTGTGTTTGAATTGTTTTTTGACATCCTTAATCTAGTGGCTGATACTTTATTATTAACTGTGGTCTTCTTGCATGTGAAACAATTTCCCAATTTGGGATCAATAAAGTACGATCTATCTATCTATCTATGAAAGGGTTTGCTTGTAGAGACAACACACAGAAAAGTATCACTCTACTGCGGTCGTCCCCATTTTAAGCTCATTCAATTCTTTCTTACATCCGAAAACTTGGTTCACTCTTTCACTCGCATCAAACCTGTCCTCAGCTGCAGCAGGCAGATCATTTCAGAAAAAGAAAAAAAAGAAGGTTATACCTGCTGCATGGCAGACAAATATAGCGTTAAGCTCTTAAACATGGTCGAGCTTTCAGCAGATAGCTAGTAGGGTATTTCCCTCAGGGGAAGATGGAGACCAAAACAGAGCTAAAAGGAGAGAAGGCGTTAATGGGTGTAAGTAAATAGGAAAATGTGTGCTAATAATTGTGAAATATCAACAAAAAAGTGATACTTTTTAGTTGATCCCTGCCCATCTAGCACTTCGGGACTTGAAGTCAAATATGAAGTGCTTTATAAATGAAACCCATTATTATTATTATTATTATTATTATTATCCAAACCAATCATTCTAAGCTTTTATTGGTGCGAAAGTTCAAGTAACTTTATAAATATGCCATCCTTCACTTGTTAACTCTTAAAGGTGGGGTAGGTAATTTTGGAGAAACCAGCTCGAGTGCGCTAGAATTTGAAAATACACAGCCGGAAGAAATCTGCCACTTCCTTATAGAGCCCCTCCTCCAACACACACGAACGCGCACATGACCAATGAGGGCACGAGATAAGTTTGTGCACAGATGGAAGGCTGACAGGCAGGTAGGCCATCCAGCTATTTTAGCCGGGCCGGCTCAGATGATTGGTCGTGCTTTTTACAGTACTACGGCTTCCACAGATGAAATTTTTGTATGGATTTTTTGTCAAAGCACTTAAGATATTCATTGCTATCGGGATGTTAAGAGCATTCCATGGAATATAACAAAAAGTGTATCTCGAGCCGGTTTCTCAAACTTACCTACCCCACCTTTAAGCATAGCCTTTTCAGGTGTATTTGGTCAACTGCTTTATCTCAGAAATATTTAAATAACATATTGGGTTGTCTAAAAAAAAGACAAAACTAAGTGTTTAGTTATATCAAATAATCTGTGGCTGTGATTGGCAATTTTGTATTTAGAAATTAACAACACGTGTGCATTTTCAACTATAGGGTTGTTTTTCGTCAATTCCTTGGCGATTGTAACTGTTAGAATATGAGTATGCTGGACATGCATGTGTGGTATCTCCTTAAATACTTACAAAACTAGCAAATTATATATCTTCAATTCTATGAATCTTGAAAGAAAGGGTTACCTTCTGTCTAATTATTGCTTAATAACAAAGTTTGTCAATGGGTCACACTCCCAAATCTTCATACATGGTGACCACACTCACTGAAGCAGAATTGTTATTAGGTTCTTCAGAGCAATTTGAAAATATTCAGCCTTCACTACCAATGTTTTCTCACAATCCTCGCTCTCCACTATGGGAAGTATTGAACTCACCCACAGATCTCACACTTCTCTCTCTCTCCTCTCTCTCTCTCTCTCTCTCTCTCTCTCTCTCTCTCTCTCTCTCTCTCTCTCTCTCTCCTCTCTCTCTCTCTCTCTCTCTCTCACACTTCCTCTCAGTCCTTCTGCAGGAGCTGTTCATCCCTGTTTCAGAAACATGTTTGGTTTCCCTACAAAGCCAGAGTTACACGTAGCCTTTATCCTACAGAAGCTCTCTGCAGCCCAAACATGAATAACACATGAATCCATCGGACCAGTGCTGCTCGCGGGAATAACTATAGATGTACTTTGCTCTGCTTGTATCACCTCTCCGTGCTCTGCATAACCCTCACTGTCGGGCTGTCAATAGTTCACACACACACACACACACACACACACACACACACACACACACACACACACGCACTCGCACTCGCACTCGCACTCGCACTCGCACTCGCACTCACACACACATCCTGTAGGTGAACTGTGTGCAAGGGTGTGTGTTTTTACAACTAATTCAATTTGAATACAGACAAAGTAATGAAAATGTGAAAATAAGTCCCAATTTGGGATCTATATCGTATAACATTATCTGAAAATTATAAATGAGACTATTTCTTTGCTGTAGATTAATAAATCAGAATCAGAATCAGAAACGGGTTTATTGCCAGGTAGGTTCACACATTTGACTTGATGTCGTGGTGCATACTGTACATAAAATATAAAACAAAGAATCTCCATATAAAACAAAAAATCTAATATAAAACAAAAAATCTTTAAGGACACTGTAATAAAATATAGTTAAATAGCAATAAAATAGAGCCGTAATTTACAGCGAAATAGAATGCATATATAGAATATAAACTATGAAATATGAAATAAGAATATGTGCAGTAAGCAGTATTTGAGCATTGTGTGCATTAATGTAATGCATATAGAGACTACGTTGTGGCTGAGGTAAAGTGTCAGTGGGGGGGCCAGGACTTGTTTAAGAGGCCGGTAGCGGAGGGGAAGAAACTGTTCAGGTGGCGAGAGGTTTTGGTCCTGATGGAGCGCAGCCTCCTGCCAGAGGGGAGGGGGGTGAACAGTTTGTGTCCAGGGTGGGAGGGGTCAGCCACTATCTTCCCTGCCCGCCTCAGGTCGTGGAGGGATGGCAGAGCGGATGCCTCGTTGCAGCCTGCCCTTATCCTTGGCTGTGGCTGCGGCGTACCAGATGGTGATGGAGGAGGTGAGGATGGACTCCATGATGGAGGTGTAGAAGTTCACCATCATCGTCTTTGGCAGGTTGAATTTCTTCAGCTGCCTCAGGAAGAACATCCTCTGCTGTGCTTTTGTGATGAGGGAGCAGATGTTTTGCTCCCATTTGAGGTCCTGGGCGATGATGGTGCCCAGGAAGCGGAAAGACTCCACAGCAGTGACTGGGGAGTCACACAGAGTGATGGGGAGTCACACAGAGTGATGGGGGCGGGTGGGGCTGCGTTCTTCCTGAAGTCCACAACCATCTCCACTGTCTTGAGAGCGTTGAGCTCCAGGTAGTTGTCCCTACACCAGGTCACCAGATGGTCCATCTCCCACCTGTAGGCAGACTCGTCCCCACCAGAGATGAGTCCGATGAGGGTGGTGTCGTCTGCGAACTTCAGGAGCTTGACAGACTGGTGACTGGAGGTGCAGCTGTTGGTGTACAGGGAGAAGAGCAGAGGGGAAAGAACGCAGCCTTGAGGGGAACCGGTGCTGATGATCCGGGGGTCAGAGACGTGTTTCCCATGCCTCACGTGCTGCTTCCTGTCAGATCAATATGGTCTGTTAAATATCAGAAAAATAATCATAAAATAGAAACATCCATATATATTTACTCTTGTATAATGAAAGAGATATTTTATAGCTTAAGAAGTTGGAACTAGTTTGATTTGTGGTCTTTTGCTTAAAAAATTACTCTAATCAATTTACAGAGTAGCTGCAAATTAGCCTCCTTTTTCTGAAGACCAACAATTCAAGTAATGCTTTCAGCTCTACACCTATATCCACAACTAAACAACATTGCATTTCAGTGTTTGTTTCGCCTGCTTGTTTTAATGTCAATCATCAAGAGTAACCTGGGTTTGTGAAATGGTATGTAGCTGCTTCAGCTTTCTGCTGCAGTTTCCTTGTAAATAGAAAGAGCTCCTATGTAAGCTCATTACCAGCAGCTGCTATTTGTGTTCTCTTTTGGTGAACACACACACACACACACACACACACACACACACACACACACACACACACACACACACACACATACACAATCTCCTCTAATATACCTCTTGTTTATTTCTGTTCTCTTTCCCATCTTCTTGAAGCCTCTCTTCTTCCATCTCCTCTCCTCCTCACCCTACCTCCCTTCTCTCATTAGATAACTGCAGTCTTCTTCATTTAATATATGCAAAGCCGTTTATGCCCCTGGAATATTTGAGTTCTTTAAATACTTCACGCAGTGTACAGAAATATGTTTCATCTGAGCCCGCTGTTTTTTGATATTGCACACAAAAGCGGAACCGGTCTCTTGTGTGATTTAGAAACTAGTACAAAAGCGTAAAGAACAGAAAATGTGACAAATGTGGGTAATGGCAGAAAAAGAGAAGCACATTCTCTGGTGTGTGTGTGTGTGTGTGTGTGTGTGTGTGTGTGTGTGTGTGTGTGTGTGTGTGTGTGTGTGTGTGTGTGTGTGTGTGTGTGTGTGTGTGTGTGTGTGTGCGTGCGTGCGTGCGTGCGTGCGTGTGTCTCTCTGTGTGTGTCTCTGTGTGCGTGTGTCTCTGTGTGTGTGTGTCTCTGTGTGTATTTGTTTGAGTAGACGTTCTTGTGTGTGTGTGTGTGTGTCTCTGTGTGTGTGTCTCTGTGTGTGTCTCTGTGTGTGTGTGTCTCTGTGTGTATTTGTTTGAGTAGACGTTCGTGTGTGGTGTGTGTGGTGTGTGTGTGTGTGTGTGTGTGTGTGTGTGTGTGTGTGTGTGTGCGCGTGCGTGCGTGTGTCTCTCTGTGTGTGTCTGTGTGCGTGTGTCTCTATGTGTTTGTGTCTGTGTGTGTGTGTGTATTTGTTTGAGTAGACGTTCTTGTGTGTGTGTGTGTGTGTCTCTGTGTGTGTGTCTCTGTGTGTGTCTCTGTGTGTGTGTGTCTCTGTGTGTATTTGTTTGAGTAGACGTTCGTGTGTGTGTGTGTGTGTGTGTGTGTGTGTGTGTGTGTGTGTGTGTGTGTGTGTGTGTGTGTGTGTGTGTGTGTGTGTGTGTGTATAAAATGTCGGTGCTGATCACTGTGCCCGGTGAGAAGTGCTTACTGCAGCACTTTGTTCTGGGGGAGGCAGCGCTGGCTCAACTGTGTCTCCAGTGATGAAAGCAGCTGTAACAGCAACATTATCTCCACACACCACCGTACAGACACAGTGACAATCTCTACTCTTGCATGTAATGTTCCCTGAGCCTTTTTAGAAATCACCAAACAGACTGTGGCACTGCAGGCTGTGTCTGCCCATTACAGAAGAATCTGCTGCATTTTAATTGCTGCTGCTCATATTTGAGCCATGGATGTGTACTTATTTGTCTTTATTGTATCACTAAGTGTGCTTTTCTTTCTATATTTAACATATATGGTCATATTTTCAGTTATGGTTGATTTGGTGACTCCCTTTTTATTGGTGGTAACAGCAACCAGGTTTATTACTAATAATGAGAATCTAGTTTTCGGGGTATTTACTCAAAACCTAAACACAAACAAAAGACTGCAGTAAACATGTGATAAATACTTGCTATATAATAATTATGATATGCAACTTGAAGCATTTAAAGGCTTCCATCTTTAATCAGAAAAAGTCATTTTGATGCAATACTGTAAAAAGGACTTGAGTGCAAAAAAGCTGAGTCATTGTGTGACCTTCCTGAGACTGAAAATATAGAAACACCAGAACTTTAGATCGTTTTTCAACCTCTCTTCCGATGCTTGTCGTCCAGGAGCCGAACTCCCCTGCCGGCAGCCCCCCCCACTCGCCCCACGGGAACGGGCTGGACCGGGCTCCCACTCTGAGGAAAGAGCTGCCGGGCTCCTCTAGCGCCGGAGACGCCCCCTCCCCCCCGAACCCCCGCAGCCCCACCCCGGGGAAGTCCAAGGACTCTGCCCAGGTGAGACTGAGTGATTCTTAGGAAGCTGCTGCTCTTGGTTGACGGGACATCTGATCTCATACTTTCTGATGATCAGTGCTGGAAGAAGTACTGAAAGCTTCTTTTTTTCTTTTTACATTTTATGGAATACAAACAGGAAAGAAAAAAAAAACACAGACAGGCATATCAAAATAAAAAGAATACAAATTGGGTCAATGAGTCACTTTGGTGTTTGTATAGTTCAGGGGTCTGCAACCTTTTTGACCAAAAGAGCCATTTTGTCCCCTTTTCCACAAATGTTTTTGTCTGGAGCCGCACAACATATTTGATAGCTTGATAGCTTATAAAGTTGTATTTATTGTTAGATCATAGACAAAAACTACATTTTTTTTGCATTTATTATTTAATACATTTAGGGCTGTGCGATTATGGCAAAAATCATAATCACGATTATTTTGGTCAATAATTGATATCACGATTATTAAATACGATTATTCATTGACTTTGAAAACGTCAATTTATTGAACTTTAAAACAAATTTAAATAATAATTTGAACAGTATCTGTTTAACTGTTGATTACCCTGAACGTATAATTCAACTGAAAAACCAATACAAAAATAAATGATACATTTATTACATTTAAATAAATAATATCAAAATAATAAATACCAATAAAAAAATATATATATATTTTGGAGCGCACTTCAACAAGCTACTAAACATATATAAATATGATAAATAAATTAGACTATAAAATAAATTAGATCAAATATGTTGCAGTGCACTGTCACAACCTAGCAAAGCAAAATAATCGTTTTTTTCGATTATGTTGTTTTTGTAATTGTGGCAGGTCAAAATCGTAATTGCGATTAAAAAACGATTAATTGCACAGCCCTAATTACATTATAGAAAACTGTTTACCTCTAATAATAAACAAAGAACTCTTATAAGGAGAATTTAAAAAAATACACAGGCCTACTTTAAAATAAATCAACACAGCACTTGGGGAGTCCTCTGCACATTTGAAGAACATGAATATAATTAAAATGGGCCCACTTTGAAATAAATAAAACCTATAGCTGCACCCTAAAAAGAGTTAACTGATTGAATTATGACTGGAGATCGTCAGCTGTCTTCCTCTCCCGTGTTTTTCCTCCAATACGTAAAGGCTGCAGCACCTTTGACAACTTGTCTCCACATATGAAACATACCGGTAAGCCAGCATCGTTTGCTGTGAAAGCAGATAACTCTGTCCACGCAGAATGAAACCCTCTGTGTTCCTCCGATACTTTTCTTTTCTTTGATTTATCCATAGTTCGCTCATCGAGCCGGGGGTCAGGTTATTCGCCTGCAAGAAAATGCGCTGGTGCGGGACCGTCGCAGGATATGACGCATATTTTAGTTGACCTAATTAAAACCGTTTTTTTTTTTTTTTTACGTGTCACAGTATCACCTCAAAATACAAGATACGAAACATTTTCAACCGTGCAACAAAATATAAATAGTCCTACACATATTTTTATTTGATTTCCTTCTTATTTTTGTCTAAGCTCAAGGGAGCCAGAGCAGAGGGCTTAAAGAGCCGGCATCATAATATACTTAAAGTACCAAGCGTAAACTTTTAAATGTCTGCATTATGATTATCGGTGCATTAATGTGTCTATCACATCTGGTAAAGGAGTGGGGGTTTGAATCCTCTACTGTTTTGGAATAAATAATTATTGTCTTATTAAATGTTGCTGACAAGCCACTTGGATGATAGCTGTAGCTGTGCCAGAAACACCGTCATGGATTTGAATCAAAATTAACAAGTGATCATCATTCTGAACATCAGCGTAAAAAAACGAGGGCTTAGGTGTGATAAGCCGTATACCTCCCAGGACAGATCAGCCATGATTTTTATTGGTTATATTTCATTTCTGACTTTAAGTCTCAGTCTCCATTGTCCAAGTCTGGCACCCCGTCCCCGTCCCACCGAGAGGCCCTGACCCCCGGAGCCCCGGGCCCCAGCACCTCCTGCCTGCGTCTGGTCAGCAAAGCAGCTTCCAGTGCAGACCCTCTAGGTGAGGCTGGGGATATAAAACCTTACATCTATGTATCCTATGTTATTATTGTGTTTTTACTGTGGATTGTGTTTTTAGCACTTCTTAACACGTGTGGTCATTTATTCTTTTATGATTCCTATGATGTTTTAATGTTTTGTCAAGCACTTTGTGACTATGTCTGTGAAAAGCGCTTTATAAATACATTTGACTTATTTACTTACTTAAAGATTGCCCTGCATATTGTTACCGTTGACAAAATAGTTTGTAAACCACTCATTCAGAAAGCTTCTCAGGAAAAGCCAACTTCAAATGGTGATATGATTACATGCATCATTACATAGTGGAGAAAGCTTTAACATTACTCATGACTTTTAATTTAGCTGCTCCACTTGAGCTCTTTTTTATATGTTTTAAACTGAACGAGAGCTCTTTGAATTGAACTGTCATGGCCAGAATGGGATTTGCTCCGAGTATTCCTCTGCCCTTCATGCCCTACATCCCTTTGTCCCCCAGTTTTCCCTTTTCCTGATTGTTTATGGTATGAAATTACTGCTGAGTATTCATGTAGTTTACCGGTTTTCCTCCCAAAATATCTTGATTTTTGTCAGTGCAAAGTTAAACAAAATGCCTCCCCTTGGGCCTGATATTTCAAATACACAAAGCCTCAAAATAAAGTAAGACCCCTGTGACTCTAACTATAGAGATCCAGATTTATCATTGGACTCTTGAGCAAGTCTCAACAGCTCTCTGCTCCTGTGGCCAGTAATAAAAAACATTGTTTTACCTGATAGCGCAACAACTAAAATGTAATTAAAAAAAAAAACCCTCTGTGATTGTGTTTAGATTCCATGTAGTGTTTCTCCTCCTTCCTTCATCCCCTCATTCCTCTTTCCCTCCCTCCCCAGCTCTCCGCAGTCCCATGTCTGTGCCCCCCGGTTCATACCCAGCTCATTTTGGCGTGGTGTCCCACGCAGGACTGAACGGAGAGCTGGCCAGCCCAGGAGGCTTCGGGGGGGCTCTGACTCTCTCTCCACAGATCAGCGCTGCAGCCAACGCCTACTCCCGCAGCCCCATGGTGAGTAAAGGCCAAATGGTTACTCTAAAGAGTCTAAGTCTTTGGGGCGATTTTGGCGCAGTGGGTTAGAGCGTTGATCATCAGATGAAGGGGCGTTGGTGAACTCCAATTCGAAACCCTCCTCGGCCGCCACTGCGTCAGGCCGTTGTGTCCTTGGGCAAGACACTTCACCCGAATTTGCTCCTGTGGGTAATGTCCACAGTAATGACTCTTATATGTCTAATACTGTATGTGTAATTGTAAAGCGCTTTGAGCACCTGCAAAAGCGCTCTAATAAAAAATGTGTTGCATTATTATTATTATTATTATTATTAAGTCCAGGTTTGATTTATAGTTCAGCCTCAGTTCTAACCCTCTGACTGTTAAAAAAGCTCAATGTGTCCTGTGTTGTCAGGTAGAGCATTCATTACATGATTAAAGTTATCATGCTTACATTAACTTATTCATTTTGATAGAAAGGGACAGTCATGGCGAGAAGTTTTGTAATTGATAAGACTCACAAATGCAAATCTGTGTAGCACTCCTGAAAAATACTTTCTTCAACATGCTCCAAATTAAATTCATTATCATTTAAACGTCCAGCATGGCAAACATGAACATAAACAACAGGAAGCAGCCTCAGCCGTTAAATCACAGTTTTTACAGTCTCTTATGGCCGACATGTAGTAACATGTTTGTTGATGTAGCCTGGCGTCAGTGTAGCTACAGTATTTAGCTCCCAGAAGACCCAGCCTAAGGCAGGATGTACACTGCGGTGCCCCTTCACCACCTTGTCATCAATCTGGGGGAAGGCAGTATGCTCATAACATCCCACATTAGTGTCAGCACAGTAATATGCACACACTTCAGCAGAGTTTCAGACCGCAGACTGCAGTCAGCCTGTTGTTTTAATGCTGAGTAATTTTTGGGATAACATTACATTTTTACTTCAACTTAAAAGAAATTCTGTTGGATCATTTTACATATGCTTTGCCTGTACGTGCTACACATTTAATTAATGTTGCCCATAAATCAGCTGCTTTTTAAGATGCTCTGACAAAAATGTCCACACCCTTTCGTGGCGGCGGTTTACGCCTTAGGAGGTTGACATTTTGCAATTAGGTCAAGTGTTTGTCACGTTATCAGTGTTGAATGCATTAACATGTGGATACATGTCTGTACAATGGTTGAAGCTATTGCAAATCCACGCCTTTCTAAAGAATGTAAAAAAAATGCACATACATTTGGGTAGTGCCATTCATATTTGGCTCCACTTCCTAAGTCACATGTAGGTTTATTCAAATGTACATCCCTATCTCACTGACTGCTTGAAAAGCTTTTTTAAGAGAGGAACTTAAAGAGACAGGCTCAAAATTAAGTCTTTCTGAAAGATGGTAAAAATATTTTTTTTCAGACAAAATTAATGTGTTTTTTTTAACATAAAGGCATGTAAACAAGTTATAGTGGAAACCCAAATAACTTATACTCACCTAAACATGACCATCATACAGTTTGTCCTCTTTAAGTCTGTGTAACCCCTAGATTCCACCGGGTCCGTCTGCGTCGCGTTACGGCTGCGCCGCGGTTTTGGTCCGGCCTCCTCCGGCGTCATACCCTACCAGGCGCGTTTCAGAAGCATTTCAGAAGCATTTCAGAAGCGGAGCGTCGTGCCTGCCGGCTCGCAGTTTTTGTTGATTTGGGCATATTTCCTGGACAGGCTACTTTGTACAGACAAAGTTAATAATAATTGTAATATTCCAGTTATAAACGACATGAATCAAAGATGTGTTGCTGTATTTTAGTGGTAAAAAAATGCATTCATCATAATTATTCTATATATATAATAATAATATATAATAATAATATAATATAATAATCCTGTAAAACCGGAGGAGAACGCTGGCATTTCTCCTCCTACTTGAAAGACTACGGAGGGATAGAGTCTGCAAAATTAGTTTGTGTGTGTGTGTATATATCTATATATATATATGCTATATATGCTCTGAACGTTCCAGTTCCTGCCTGCCCGACATTACGTTAGCGCTGCGGCGCGGCCGTAACGCGGCGCAGACGGACCCGGTGGAATCTAGGGGTAAAGCTGTTAATTATTCGTCCACTCTTTTGTCTCCTCCAGGTGGCGTATGAGTCTCGGTCTCACCTGAGGGCCCCGGGGCTGTCCTCCTCTCTGCCTGGTTCCTCTGGGGGCAAACCGTGAGTATTCACACTGTCCATATTTCATTTAGGATTGAAAACGGGGTGTAAGTATATTTGGTAGACGCATTTTCAAGCCTTTAATTACTATTTGTCTGTAAACATTGAGCTGCAGCACATGCATTTGTTGGAGGAAATCTCAGTCTGGGCAGTATGTGAAAAATAAAACGCTTTTTGAACATTAAAGCATGTAAACATTTCATAGTAAAGGCTCAAAATAGGTTCTATGTCCTCTTTGACGGAGGGTGATAGTGTTGAAAGGGGGACATAGCAGCAGATCTGTGCAGCTCTGAGCTAAACACGGCATAACTTTCTTTTGTTTTCATTGGAAAGAAATGTGAATGCTGAGCAAGATAATCAGGGCAGCTTAAATACATAGTTAGACACATAAGATTGCTCATACTTTACTGAAAACTCGCTCAGTGATAATCACATTTTGGATTGGATGAGAACCCAAATAAATAGTTTCTCCCATCTGCAGGATTTTGGGGTTTTCTATTCCCCCTGTGCTTTTCAGCGTTGCACATTAACCGTGTCCAACAAAGACATATATTATAGAATTGCATGCGCCCAGCTCACTTTCTCCAGCACGCCTGCACACAGTCCACTCGGCTGTGCAGACTGTTGAATGATGTTGTTTTTGTCATTTGTTGCAGAGCAGCAATTCATTCTTGCGGTGCTAATTTGAAATCATAAAACAGCCTGGGTCTCCAACAGCTACACTATTGATCGGCCATTAGCAATGCCACACTGCCTCTGCCCTGTAATACAATCTGCCATTATGCATCCCCGCCTACAGCTACAGTGGGGCTAGTAATTGCCAGAATTCAGGCAAATATGACTGAAGATCCAAAGCCATTACCGTTGCAGTCTCAACTCTCTGATTTGCTTGTAGCTGTTTGTGCATTGTGTTTATTTACCTGTTGCTCGCCTCCTTTCTCATTGATTAAAATGATTGATTCCATCTTCTCTGTCCTGTCTTCCTCCCATGTATCCTTCACTGTCCTCTGCTGTGCCCTCAAAACTCTGTTTAATTTTAGCTCTTCACTCCTGAAGTATTGATTTATTTCTCTTTCTGTTTCTCCGCAGAGCCTACTCGTTCCATGTGAGCGCAGACGGCCAGATGCAGCCGGTTCCCTTCCCCCCCGACGCCCTGCTGGGCCCGGGGATCCCTCGGCACGCCCGTCAGATCCACACCCTGAACCACGGAGAGGTGGTGTGTGCCGTCACCATCAGCACCTCCACCCGCCACGTCTACACCGGAGGAAAGGGCTGCGTGAAGGTGTGGGACATCAGCCAGCCGGGGAGCAAGAGCCCCATGGCGCAGCTGGACTGTCTGGTGAGAGGAGACGAGAGAGGAAGCCAAACAGGCAGAGTGTGTTTAAGATTGAAATGGGTTCACAGACACACATTCACACATCAGGCTGCAGCTTTGTTTTGGTTATGTCATTTTTTCCCTCATAGATTTTGTTAACATTCTCAAAATGTCCACATTATTATCCTAAAAGTTCCCCATCATGTTATCATCTGTCCCATGAAGCCTCATAGAAAAGGCAAAGGAAGGTTTATTTATATTGCACATTTTGATAACAAGGCAAATCAAACTGCTGCGCAAAAAAACATTGAAAGCCCAAAGACATAAAAAGCCAAAATCATTAAAAAGCCCATATAATACAAATTAAAGAAAGGTTAAAATAGAATAAGACTGCTATAAAATACAAGAATAAAAGTCACAGTGCAGTGTAAGATGAATAATTATCTGATTTAATAAAAGGCAGGGGCAATAATAAAAGTAATCAGTCTTGATTTAAAATAATTGGGAGTTGCAGCCGACTTGCAGATATATATTCTTTCTTGTATTTTATTGCTTTGCACAATTTAAAATGACATAAATATAACAGATAACAAATGGTAAACCCAATCAAATCTCAACTTGAAAGAAAGGAGAAGATCAATATTCAAACAATAGATTGAATTCAATAATTATGGCGACATTAAAGAACATATACTAAAAAAACATCAATACATTTCTTTGAAAAACAAAATAGAAGGAAAAATGTATTCCTAATGTGTGAGTATCTGTGTATATATGGAGAAGCAGGTATCAAATAGGAGACCATTTGTAATGCGTGAAATGCTGTACTGGATTTTAATTCCCCTAAATCTGATTTGGAGCATAATAACTGAATGCCACATCTTGATATTTAGTTTTGACTCTGGGGAAAGAAAGTAGACCCATCATACCCGAACTAAGGATGGTTCATAATTTAGCAGAAGATCAGAGATGTATTTCAGCCTTAAACGTTCAGTGTTTCAAGATCATTCACTTCTAGCTTAACCCAAACATTTTTATTATTTTGTCCAATCAGAACAGGGATAACTACATCCGCTCCTGTAAAATCCTCCCTGACGGACGGACCCTGATCGTGGGGGGGGAGGCCAGCACGCTGTCCATCTGGGACTTGGCCACGCCCACTCCTCGCATCAAGGCGGAGCTGACGTCGTCGGCGCCCGCCTGCTACGCTCTGGCCATCTCCCCCGACAACAAGGTCTGCTTCTCCTGCTGCAGCGACGGGAACATCGTGGTCTGGGACCTCCACAACCAGACGCTGGTCAGGTGAGAGGGGGGGGGAGGAAGCACTCGAGTATTTGTAGTAGAAGTAGGAACACTACAGTGTAAATGATGTAGTAACATTTCCGCCTCAAAATCTCGTTCAAGTAAATACCAAAAGGAAAAGTACAACATATGTCATAAACTTTTGTGTTTTTAATTAGTGATGCATTAGTTTGTATGTATCATTCCAAGTTGCTCTTAGTAAAGGTAAGGGTTTATTTGAGTGACTTGTTATCCTGCTAGGTATCCTAACCTCTAATAATATATCATAATTCATTAGTTTATTTATATTTGATGTTAGTAATCTTAATTGTAGCTAGTCAAATAAGATGTCAAATGAATGTAGCTGAGTAAGAAGTACAGCATTTGGCTCAAACATGAAGTGAAGTGAAAATATAAAGTAGCATGAATTGAAAATGCTAGTTCAGTTCTTGAGTAAATGTACTTGATTACATGCCACCATTTGGTAAGAGGAGGAGTTTGAGTAAATGCCATGGAAGCTGGTCAAATAGCCGGCTCGTCAGGAGAGAGGAGAGAGGAGAGAGGAGAGAGGGAGAGAGGGAGGAGAGGACAGAGGAAGGTGAAAAAGAAAATTTAAAAAAGTGTGTTTTGCCTCCACAAATAGTCTGCTGTCAGGAGAGAGCGCAGAGGGGAGAGGGAGGGAGGGAGGGAGGCTGGAGGATGTGGAAACATTTCAAGAACTTCTATAAAAAAGTAGATTTAATATGGAAGAATAAAGAGGGAGGGAGGGAGGGAAAATCATTGGCTACCTTAACTAACCCTATAGTCAGTTGAGGAGAGGGGGGAGGAAATAGCCGTAGGCGTATGCGATAAAACTGCAGGATTTATAGGAGAAGGATGCATTAAGAGAGGTGAAGAGGGAAGACTGTGGTGAGGAGAAAAGGCTGGAACAGGTGAGGGCAGTAGTCGCTACAGGGAGGGCGGAATTAGAATATATTTCTCTGACACCTCCAGGAGAAAGAGACTTCAGAGTGTGTGTGTGTGTGTGTGTGCATGGCTTTGTTTTTATTTGTGGTGCTTCTGTGTGTCTCCTCCGCTCTGCAGGCAGTTCCAGGGCCACACGGACGGAGCGAGCTGCATCGACATCTCCAACGACGGCACCAAGCTGTGGACGGGGGGGGCTGGACAACACGGTCCGCTGCTGGGACCTCCGGGAGGGACGGCAGCTGCAGCAGCACGACTTCACCTCGCAGGTACACACACACACACACACACACACACACACACACACACACACACACACACACACACACACACACACACACACACACACACACACACACACCACACACACACACGGTCACATACTCATAAACACACAGAGACAAGTGTAGGTTGCAAGGAAACGACAAGCGACAACCTATGGGTTAGGAAAGTGCCGTAAACCTGCATTCTCTCTAGTGTCCTGCAGTGGGGCTAGTTTCCCAGAAGTCTGAATGTATAGAAGTCTATGAGAAAACCCCCCTCATTTCTTACCTCAATAAACATTTTCCTACTGAGTCCATGGTCTCAATTGCTATTGTCAAACTTCTTCATTTAGTAGATTAGGATCCCATTTAGACCATAATAGACAATAAAGCAGGATTTTCTTCAGAGCGGTTATCCGTTGTGATTGACAGGTCGCTCACACGTCTTGCAACTTTAACCAGTTTACAGTGTGTTTTCAGTTCATGAAAAGGTATCGTAACTTTAGGAGTTATTTATGGTTGCAAAAAAACAAGATGGCGAGAGTCAAAATAACAACACATACACCACTTATGGGACCAACATGCACACAGCACCACAATACAGTGCATACATGTGAACAAAATAACACGTGCATTTGACCTCATAAGTTAATATTTAAATCCAAATACACACTGTGACCTCACCTTGCAGGTATTAATACAAACACACACAAGTGAAAACACATCAACAAACAACAATGTCAGTTCTGCCAACAGACTCCCTCCCCACACACACACACACACACACACACACCTCACTGCCACAACAGAGCTATAGAGAGATGAGTTTCGATCCACCGTAATGACTTTCTCTATTGCTTGCCGTCTCTCTATCTTCCACTTTCCCTCTGCCTCTTTCTATTCTCCTTTTTTCTTTATCAACGTATTCATTCACTCTTTATTTACCTCCATCTCTGTCCTCCCTCTTTCCTTTGAAACTTTCCATTACCTTTTTCTTTTCCTTGATATCCTAAATACCTTCACTCACTTAATTCCTTCTTGTGTCCCTCCCTGCTTCCCTCCATTGTTCTCTGTCTCTCATCACCCTTATCTTCTTTCCTCCCTCATCCCCCATTTCCTCTCATCTTCTCCCAATTTTTGTTTTCATTTCTGCACCATTGATTCCTTTCTTCTGCCCTCCTATCTCCCATTTCATTTTCTACCTTCCCTTTGATCCCCCCCTCTCCAGATCTTCTCTCTGGGTTACTGTCCGACAGGCGAGTGGCTGGCTGTGGGAATGGAGAGCAGTAACGTGGAAGTCCTGCATGTCTCCAAACCTGACAAGTACCAGCTGCACCTCCACGAGAGCTGTGTTCTCTCTCTCAAGTTCGCCTCCTGTGGTACGTACACACACACACACACACACACACACACACACACACACACACTTTTTCACCAAGGTGGTTTAAGGGCCAATTTGTGCCAGATTGAGAACCAGTTTTTCATGTTTTCAATGCAGCGTTGCGCCGGCTCTTTGCAATGAAAATGTGTCAAACTTCTGCCCCCACAATTTTATCGGACGGCATGAAGTGCAGCGTAAATCAAGAGGCTAACGTCCGAGGCTGGGGCAGATCATTCTGAGCAATAAGAGTTCATGGCGAGTAGAGTAGAAAGTTGTCACAGGAACAGTAGCGCCAAAACCGAAAGGTGGCTAGAATGTGAACTCACAAGTAAATACAAACGTCACGCAACGTAAACCAGGCACACGTGACACATTATTTATTCTCTCTATACTTTTAATGACCACTTGTTTGCTATCATTTAAGAAAAAGAGCAACATAAGCACAGCTCAGACCCATGGATGTGTAAAGAGAACTGGATACAGCGTTGGAGTATCGTTCATTCCTATGAGAGACGCTCAGTGGCACATTAAGCTCAACATTTTACAACTTTAAGACCCTCACGATTTTAAATAAGAGCAATACAATTGTTTGTACTGGGTATTTAATTTAGCTAAAGAAAAATGATACGCTGATTTAGACGTCTCTTACACAATGTAAGTCAAATTATTTTGTTTTTGGGCCAAAATGACCTCACGGACGCTGTAGTACCACCGTTTGGCCACTACTGCCTTTCCAAAAATCTTCTTCATTGCATTACATGTCATTTGTTAGACGCTTTTATCCAAAGCGACTTACACACATTCAGTACTGTGGACAATCCCCACAGGAGCCATTTTGGGTGAAGTGTCTTGCCCAGGGACACAACGACATGCTGACTGCAGTGGGACTCGAACTAGCTACCCCCTGATTCGAAGTCCAGCACTCTACCCACTGAGCTCTACCCACTGAGCCACAGCCGCCCGTTCAATGCCCAGCCCACTTTCTGGGAGCTTGTTCCGACCCACTTCACAATTTCTGAGGGATATTCACACTGACGTAATCAGTGACCTCACGACGCTGCTCCTACAGGGCTCTGGTCAGTGGAGAAGTAAAGTGGTTCTTTTGAACTCAACTAGCACCAACACAGAACTGAACTACAGTCAGTGGGAAAAGGGGAAACAGATGTCATACTCTGGATTGGTTCCTAAATGTTTCTCTAATATTTGCCGCTCCTGACAAACAGAACTCCCCTGTTAGTATATCAGCCCTTTTCCTTTGTTTAACCCACAGCTCTGTGTGTGTTGTTTCAGGCAAGTGGTTCGTGAGCACAGGAAAAGACAATCTGTTGAATGCATGGAGGACACCATATGGAGCGAGTATTTTCCAGGTGAGAGACGAGTGCAACGCTCTGAGGATGTGTATACTCTGTGGGTGTACATATTTGGGTATATATAAATATGTGTGCTGTACGGGGTCGCAGAGTCATCTGTTAGTCGGTGGGGAGAGTGTTGTTTAAGATATCTGTGCTTCCTGTCTATGTACCCCACACACACACACACACACACGCACGCACACACACACACACACACCACACACACACACACACACACACACACACACACACATTGAGCAAATGTGTAAAAGAGAGGAAAAAGCTGAGAACGTTTAGATGGAAAAGCGAGTGATAAAACGTTTTTAAATCCAGTTTTTTGATCCATGGTGACTAGCGAAGGTATATCAGACAGTGCAGGCTGCCAAACACACACACACACACACACACACACACACACACGCACGCACACACACACACACACTCTCAGCTCTGACACACGGAACAAGTGTTATAGCTCCTTCATCTTGAGCTGGGCCAGTTCATCTTGAATGAAACGAGCAAGGGGAGATGTTGGACCATTTTTGGGGTGTGTGTGTGTGTATGCGTGTGCGTGTGCGTGTGCGTGCGTGTGTGTGTGTGTGTGCGTGTGTGTGTGTGTGTGTGTGTGCGTGTGCGCGTGTGCGTGTGTGTGTGGGGCTGTCACAGACTAACAGGAGGAAACTCACTATCTGCTTTGTTATCCAAATGCCAAATGTTTCTGCTGCCAGCTCCCTGCTGTCAGCGTGTTACACCGCTCACCCTCCTCTTCCTCCTCTCCTCTGGTTTTATCGCTGTCCTTTCCTGTTTCTGTCTCCTTGCATCTCTTTAACCCCCTTCTCTTTCCTCTCTCCCCGTCTCTCTGTTTATGTATGCCTCTCTGTGCTCTCACTTCTAATCTTTACCTCCACCCTTGTTTCTCTTCTGTCCTTTGGTTTACCCTCCGTGCTCTCTCCTTCCCCTTCTCCACTTTTCAGTCCTTTTCTCATACATGTATTCTCCGATCCTTTGGCTAGTTCAAGTGCGTCATTTCTGTCCCTCTGTTGCTTTGTTCTTTATCAAACAAGCTGTATAGTACGATGGCCGACGTGCGCAACAACAGCCCAACACACTTGAAACACGCTGCACTTTCAAAATGTGCAAATACAGAACGCTGCAAAAAAAAATCAGCAAGGATCTCAAAACTCAACCGAAATGGGGACACAAAAATAATCCCGAACGTCAACCAGCGCTCGGGTGCCGGCTGTGTGCATCACCTTTTACCGCCCCCCCCCCCCCCTTTCGTTTATGCAGAGCTTTTAGCAAATGTGTGTTTAGTTGGTGAAGAGGATTGTTTGCATGTGTTTCGGGGCATTAGTGTTTGTTTTTCTGATTTCTAGGCTGATGAATGTGTTGCTCCTAATGTCAGTGTGTTGATTACATTTGCACCAGTCGGCCACCGTATTGTTTGCTATAACCATCATTGCTTATGCCTAATTCATCTAACTGAATAGATTCTTCTAGATTTGTTCTATTCTATTTATATATATATATGTATTTGTTCTGTATAAATACATGTGCTCAACAGACTTCAAAGATAGTTGTGGTCTTTGTTGTTTACGCAATTCACTAAACTTATCAAGAAGGGCTTTTTAGTGTTTGACATTCATGCCGGAAGATGTGCGTTTTCTCTTTGTTCCTATCGTTGACTCAAACCCTTTCAAACTCATCTTTTGGCTTCTCATGTCCTCCCTCCCTCCTGAACTCGCCTCCTCCCCTATCTCCCCCTTACCTGCTATCTTGGTGTAGTATGAGGGGTCCTGTGTGAAATGGCCTCTCACCGGTGGCTTGATGATTGACAGTTCTGCTGTAGGGAGGGGAGAGGAGGGGAGAGGAGGGGAGAGGAGAGAGAGAGGGGAGTCTAAGAGGATGGAGAGGGAGGAGGAGGAGGAAGGAGAGTCTGGGAAGAGAGGGAGGAAGATAAATGATGATGGAGCAGTGGGAGGAGGGGGGGGGGACTACAGGGAGCGTTAGATCACCTAAAGCCAGGTGCCCAGGTCTGGCTTTCAAACACAGGAGGAAAAAGAAAAGCGTGCACTTTGCCGGTTCCTACAGACCATCAGCTAGTGGCGCTCAAACCTGCGGCTAATGAGGCTACATCTCTCCAGAGAACGAGAGGGGGGGGGGGGAGAAGTGTGTTTCACATCGAGGCAGCAGACGAATGAGTCAGCATCCCGGAGCTGTGGAGTTTGGAAATAATTGCAGACTGTTTGGAAATGCAAATATGTCTTGTATGATTGAGTATCAGCTGATGAGTCATTCCTTTTCTGACATCGTTCTCTTTGTGTTTCTCTCCATCTCTCATCCCTCTTCCTCTCCTCCAGTCGAAGGAGTCCTCGTCCGTGCTGAGCTGTGACGTCTCCCCCGACGATAAGTACATCGTGACGGGCTCCGGGGACAAGAAGGCCACGGTGTACGAGGTGGTGTACTGAGGACGGGAGGGGACACACAGGACGGAGATTTCATGTTTGGTTTTTTTTTGGAGCAACTGCATCACCTTAGACCTCCCGACCCGAACCCCTTATACAGCCCCCATCTCCCCCTTATCTCCTGTGATATAAGCTACTATGGAAGCTCCAAAATGCCTCCTCCCCCCCTCCCCTTCTTCCACTTTTAGCCCAAGGATGCGGCATGATAGCAGAGAGAGAGAAAGGAAAGCAGCGAGATAAGAAAGGACAAAGAAAAAGGGCGGTGGAGCGTAGAGATAAAGTCAGCAGGGAAAGACAAGAAGGAGGAGAGAAAGTGAGAGAGGAAGAGGAAGGAGGGGGGGGGGGGGTAATTAGGGCTGTTTCCTGATTAAGAGCTCAGTGGAAGGGAGGCCCCCAGAGGAGGCAGCCAGGAGCCCTGATACCACACAATCGATTCATTAGCCAGACAGTGGAGGCCTTAATGAGGCTGACGCCGCAGCCCCCCCCCCCCCCCCCCCCCAGAGAGGTGTCAGGAGCTGGGGAACGATGACGCTCCGAGAGGGGGGGGGGGCACTTCAGATATCCACACACACTCACATGACACACACACACCTGCTCACACAAAGAAACAGAGGTGGGAGAAGTGATCTGGTTCTTAAGTATAGTCGTTGTGCAGATTGGTCCATTTCACAATAATATATATGATATGTTTTATAATGATTGATCATTAAAGGTGGGGTATGTCATTCACTTCAGAAACACTTGTTATATTCCATGCAATGCTCTCAACATCCCGATAGCAATGAATATCTGAAGTGCTTTGACAATAAATACATTAAAAAATGTCATCTGTGGAAGCCGTAATACTGTAAAAAGCACGACCAATCATTTTACCCGGCCCGGCTAAAATAACTGGATGGCCTACCTGCCTGTCAGCCTTCCATCTGTGCACAAACTTATCTCGTGCCCTCATTGGTCATGTGCGCGTCCGTGTGTGTTGGAGGAGGGGCTCTATAAAGAAGTGGCAGATTTTTTCCGGTTGTGTATTTTCAAATTCTAGAGCACTCGAGCTGGTTTCTCCAAAATTACCTACCCCACCTTTAAAGTGTTCTCAAAGCTGGTAAAGGTGCAGCTAGTTTGAATGACTTTGTATACTGCAGGGTAGCTTGTGGATTTACTCCAGGTGGAACTAAAGTCTGATTTAACACTTGATTATATTTCACATCTTTAATCCAAATTGCGCAAAGTAACTAAAGGAACCAAATAAATGTAGTGGAGCAAAAGTACAAAGTTGCAAAACTCTGAAATACCCAAGTAACGTAGTCCCTAACAATGTAAAGTACAATACTGGAGTAAATGTACTTAGTTACTTAGTAAAAAACACACACTTGGATAAGACCTCTGAGGGAGAAACACACACACACACACACACACACACACACACACACACACACACACACACACACACCCCCCCCCCCCCCCCCCCCGTCTCTCTGCTTAATATCTATTTTATTTTGGTCTGACAAAGGCAGCGTGTAATGAGCAGCTCCGCGTCCCGGAGACACAAACAGAGCGTCAAACAGTCGTTCCTCTGATTCTCCGGAAGGTTCTGCTCTCCCTCCTCTCATTAGAGGCCTGTCAGCCCCGTGAAGCAGCAGCAGCTCCACTGTCAGGCCGACAACAGGGCGAACTAACACCCCCCCGATTATCATCAGCAGCCAACGAAGCAGCGACTAATCCTGACCCTTCCCACATGTTACGCAACTAGTTGCTGTTGCCTTTTGATTTGCAAACCAGATGAGAATGATCAGTCATTGTCTCACCTCCGCCTGCCTGCTGATGCGTTAGTGTTACATCTAAGATATTGATTAAGTTTGACTTTTTTGAAGACACCTTTATGGATTTAAATAAGAAAACTGTCTCTATCAATCTTCTTATCTAACTCCTAAGTGTTTTTCAAAACCGTCAAACCTCTTTTAACACCAGGTTTTCGCTCCTCCTTGTATCATACTCCACACCGGCAGGCAAACTGTATATCACAGCGTCGTTAGGACATGCATCACCACTGTGTAGACGAAACAGGCACATTTCAAGCTTTTTCTTTGATTATTACTCGTTTATTTCAGTATTTTTTATGAATAGTGATTGCTCGTCTTCTGTAATGATATGTTTATGTATTGGGGTTGCCTATGACTGCGTTTCGGGGACGCACTCACACACATGGAGACGTACAAAATCAACACAGGCGGGGAAATATATTTGTATTCCTTTTTTAAATCATGTTTCTCCTTGGTGGTGGAGACGGACAGAGTCCTGTGTAAAGATAAAAAAAAGAAGACCCTCTGATCCGTCTCCTGTTTCTGTTTTATTTCCCTTTTTTATTCAAAAGTGGTAGTAAATATGCTGTAGTCTGTTTTCAGTCCTTATTGTGTAACTAAACGGTGTCTCTGTTGGGTCAGTGTACAGCACAGCGACTCAGATGAACCATCCAACACTCTTACTGCATGCTTGTTGCCTCACTTCTGATGAATATGATTTTTCTCAGTAAGTACAGTAGAAAGTCTCACAGCCAAAGTTCCACTGGGATTCATTTCACAATATAGTATGCAATTTGTATTTAATTGTGCAGACATTTAGCTACATATGCCGGAAAGAAGAGGGGCTTTTACAGTGAGGGTATCATGGGTACGGTTGAATGCCTTTGTCCGCCCACGAGCTTGCACTCTGCTCTGATCGATGCTGTATCACGGCGGCCGTGCATTTGGTGGTAAAGCGTGAATATTTGACTCTTCTTTAACTGTCAGTAACGTCTCTCCCGCCCTGCGCCTGTGCTTTCTTTGTTCCAACAATATAACAACTTTTATTTTCGGTTTTACAAGCCCTTGTTTAGTTTTTCTCTTTTAAAAGCCAAGGAACTTTTTTTTTTTAACTGCACTGTGTCTTTTCCCCTCCTGATGCGTTTCCCATGTGCTGTTCAAGAAATACTATGTGTGAAAAATAAACCAAACTTGTGTTGAATGATCGATTGTTTGACCGTTATTCTCAGAGACAGAGACAGAAATCCAGAAGGATAAATCTCCCCCTCTCCTCACTCAAAAACAAATACACGTTTTACATGAATATTTGAAATTCAGAAATGTCTTGGTTTAATAGATTCCAAATCATGTGACTCCATTGTAGTTCTTCACAGGAGTTGGACACACCTCTTTTGACAGGACTTTGGTGTTTCTTATTTTATATGAATGGAAATTCAGCATTTATTTGAATGAAAAGCTTCAATGTTCTTCCATAGCTTCCATGTCATGTGACCCATTGACTCCAAACCAACGCAGCATTGTACAGTAACCTGTAAAACATAGTAAAAGACCAGAGTGAACGTCTGTCTAATATCAAGTGCACCTTTCCTGAAGTCTATGAGGTGACACATTCTCACTTCATAAATACCACTTTATGTGTGGGATAAGTCATGGATCTGTTCTTAGGCCTCTTTTATATATTGTTCCTGGTCTCTTTTGTGGATTTAAGTCCACTTGCTTTGACAGGTATTTTCCATGAGTTTAATGTCTTGATCCAGTTTTTTCTGTAGTCGAGCGGGCACACTAGTTGGAAACCGTGTCGAGGCAATAGCAGCCTTGAGAGTGCCCCGTGTTGTGATGAGAAGCATTTTAAAAAAATGAAACTAAATGATTTATTTTCCACCTGTGTGAAAGTCATTCTTTAAACTGGACAAGAGATAGTTTCATTTTCTTCAGGTTTATTGACAGTAAGGCTTTTTTGTCTTGGCGGAAAGTCCACATCTACACCAATAACCATTACAGTACGGAAGAGGATGAGGGCCACATGTTATCTATTTATGTTATCTGACCAAAACTTAACTTTTTTCTCTGAGATTAAAGTCAGAATATTTGATTGGTCTGTTTTTCTTATCAGATTTCAGAATTCTGTATTTTTCAAATTCTTACAGTTTTGACCTTTTCCGAATTTTTACTTTTTTCCCAACTTTACAGAATTCTGACTTTTGGAAATGTTCAGAATTCTGACTTTTTCTTCAGATTTCAGACTTTTCTCAGTTTTCTGACTTTTTGCCTGATCTCAGAATGTTGACTTTAATGTCATTTATTTTTACAAGTGGCCCTAATCCTTTTGCCTACTAATGTACTTCCTCTCGGGTATGATTTATTCAATAATCCATTCCTCAGCCTATTGTACTGCAGACCACCTTCACCTCGTCTCACTGCATGAAAACACAACCGTACGTGCGGCTGCATTATTCACTGAGAGCTACAGTCGGAGAGGAGCTGGCTGTTGGTTTGAATCCCAGGACACTTCTTCTCACATCTGATGACGCCGATGCTCACCAGAGAAGTCGCTGTGTGCTGTGGTGTTTCCTCAGCGAGAGAGAAGTCCTTCCTCACAGGAGAGCGGAGGCAGAGTGTTCTCACTATTCACATCCTTCATTTCTTATCTAAATATTTCTACGATGCTTTCTGGCATCTCACCGGCAGCACACACTTTTTCTGGCTGTTCAGTTTTAAACAAACATTCAGCAAATGCTTCTTTTGACTTTAGTTTCAGTTTGTATCTGGCAATACCCTTCACATAATCACACCTACATTCATCCTTAAGAAGCTGTTTAATAGTTTTTTCTGTGAAACACAACAAAGGAAAAGTTATCCAATGCAGATTTGAGATCTCCCCACACTGGCAGTTTTCTTAAAGCAAACCCAAGTCACAGATAACATCCTCGTTTGCCTTTAGAGAACTTTATTTACATGTCCATATATAGCAAGGTTCATGATGCAGTTGTGAAAATACCTGTCTGCCTTATATGTGCCCTAACAAATACATTTAAAAAACCCATTTAATGTTGAGAGAGAGGCCCAAATATGTATTTAGTTCACCTCCTGTGAGCGGTTTGAACTCACTTCTGTCTTCAGGGTCGTGGCTTCCGGTGTCAGGCTGGTTTTCCCTAAACATATTTCCACAATAAGTCTGGCTTTGTTGTTTTATAAAGACGGGAAAGGAACAAAGACAAACTCTCAGGAGACTTTAGAAGAAGCCCTGTGCTGTCTTGTGAGTACTGGAGATGATACAATCATGTTGCTGCTCATGAAACTTAGCCAGGAGAGAAAAGAAAAATAGCTGGAACCTCAGAGCACGCCATCTTCACATCTGCCACACATCTGTCACACATCTGCTGCCCCGAGGAGCGGCACGTATCCGGACCGGGCCAAGCCGGGCCAAGCTGACCCAGGATGGGACTCTTTACACAGCACAGATATGGATAGTATTTTTCCATTAAGCCCCTGAACCCTTCCCCCCCCCACCCCCCCTCCTCAGCCACACATCTGTCTTCTTCCACTTGATGCAGTCCAACTGTTTGCGAAAAATTCAAAGGCTAAAAAAATAAGATTTTTTTTTGTTGCTAATTTCTTGTTCACTACAGAGGTTTTATTTTGTTAAAAAAAGGAACAAAAAAAGGAACAAAAGCAAAAGTTCTTTGGAGGAATCCCACATTTTGCGCAGCTATAGACTAACCAGCGTTCTCAGAGCATTAAAAACAGAGTTTGTTTTTTTTCCAGAGATGTGACTTTGTGCCCCCTTTGCTTCTCTTTCTCATTTCTTTCACAAACGTAAACAAAACAACAAAGTACGAGTTGAGTGTCTCTTGTTTTCCATGCCACCGAAGCTCTGTACAGTCATTGGTGCAGGAGGGAGCCTCAGCCCCGCCCCCTGATTATTAGTTTTTTTTTTCAGCCAATCAGAGATCAGTAGATAACTTCGTAGACTGTCGCCTTCTTGTCCCCGGAGCCGGTGACGATGAACTGATCGTCAGGAGAGATGTCACAGCTGAGGACCGACGAAGACTCCTTAGACTGGACAGAGAGGAAGGAATGTTAGCTACAGCCACGCTTCTGTACACAGTGACATATATTCACATTAATCCAGTCGAAAATAATCTTTTATGTCTCAAAATAAACCTCCAATAGGAACATTAAAGGTCACCTATCATGCAATATTTAGGCAATAGCATAGGTCTCAGATATATAAAAATCATGTCTATGAAGTGTTTTGCTCAAAATACCAAACAGATCACCCATCCTAGCCATGCCTCATATCCCTCTATTTCACTTCCTGTTACTAAAGTGCTGATTCAGGGTATAAAGCTTTACAAAAAAAAAAAAAAAAGAGGGGGCAGAGCTTATGCCTGCTCATGCGGGACCCGGTAGATACTGTCTAAAATAAATACTGCGGTGATGAAACGCCAAAACCACATCAAGGATTATTTCTGAAACATTATGGAGCTCAAAGGCTTTCTCTCTCTCAGGTTTACCACAAGGTGAGTTCCTTTTCATTTCCTGCTTCTTCACACACATGCTCTCCAGTACAGGTTAGCTCTGAGTGTTAGCGATGCTTGCTAATGTAAACAAAAGCCATATTACGTCCAAAACACGTCAGGCATTGTTTCTGATAGCAACTTTCTGATAGGGCTGTGGGTCCACCACAACCATCCGATATGACGTAAATAACATCGTATCGGACGCAAATCTAGATCAGCTCGTTGTAGCCCCGTTTTTAGAGATTTGCGCACGGAGGAAAATAGAGGGTTTTATTTTCTGACGCTGCGTGAGTTCCCCGACACACCGGGGACATATATTTATGTATAAAAGAGATCAAAAAGTGCATTTTGCATGATAGGTCCCCTTTAAAATTACATTTTTTATACTTTATAACTGAAATGTTTGCAGGCAGATTAGATGTACAAACAGTGACACATCGATTCAAATTAGTCAAGTCAAAACTGATGTGTTTCTATACACATTTTAAAGTATTTATATCTGAATTGTTCTTTGGCAAGAAAACACCATTTCTCATCATGTCACCGTCCTACGTAGTCATTTTAATAATGCAATAAGACTGATAAACACCTGAGCTCTGTTAAGTGCCGCGATAAACATTCATCTGTTTGTCATCTTGCAATTGACTTGTTTATCTAAATAGTTATCACCGTAATAAACCGTATTTCAATTTCGTCTTAATGTACAATATGTTATTTTACATTCTGTTCTTGTGTATATCATATTCTATTTACGTGTATTTAGACTTCTTGCACTATTTTTGATTTGTATTTTATTATATGTAGCATTGTGGAGGAGCTCTGGTCACAAGATTTCCATTGCCATTTGTTCTCTGCAGCTTACGTGCATATGACAATGAAACCTTTGAATCTTGAATTCAACATGTTCATAGAATCCTGAGAGCTGTACATACTGCCAGGTGTTTGATGGCTTACCTGGAATATGCTGGATCCATAAGGTGTCCGCCATGCGTTCAGGAGGTTATCTTTGCCTGTGCTCACGAACCATTTACCTACAGGACGAAACACACACACACACCGACAGATAAAGTCTCAGGGGAGGTGAGATATAAAGAAGAATGGGAGCAGTGAAAAGTATAGATACTGTTTCTGAATAAGAAGAGACGCAGAGGATTTGTTCTGCTCTCCTGGTCAGGGTGTGTGTGAGGTGTGTTTGTAGTGTGTGTGTGAGGTGTGTGTGTGTACGTACCGCAGTAGGCGAACTTGAGAGACAGAACGCAGCTCTCGTGGAGGTGCAGCTGGTACTTGTCAGGTTTGGAGACATGCAGGACTTCCACGTTGCTGCTCTCCATTCCCACAGCCAGCCACTCGCCTGTCGGACAGTAACCCAGAGAGAAGATCTGGAGAGGGGGGGGGTCAGAGGAATGTGGAGATGAGAGCGGGAACAAATCATCAGCAGCGTGTCTGGACTGCAGCGAGTCAGATTTATATGTAAACTGTTAGAAGAACATCACTCGTCACCGGCTTGAGCTTCAATATCAGGAAACATGTATTTATGATCCTCTCAAGAATGGAAGTAGTCATCACATACAGAGCATCAACTAGTTCCTGAACAGTGTCCTTCACGTGCTGATATACAAGAGAGGGTTACGGTCACAAGATGCATGTATACCGGTTCAAAGCAGTATTGAATGTTTAGTTCAGATTAGCTACAGTCATATGTGTATCTCCATAGAGGCTGAATCATCATGTTAATCACATAGCTATCATATGCCTCAATCAGTCCTGATGCTCTTCGAGGTAATCATACATCCTGTCATGTACACAGCTACGTAGGGCCTTTGTTATCTCTCACATTGGAAGAGTACATTGAGTATTTTCCCAACATGTATATATACACAGAGTATACAGTGTGTGCGTGTGTGTGTGTACCTGCGAGGTGAAGTCGTGCTGCTGCAGCTGCCGTCCCTCCCGGAGGTCCCAGCAGCGGACCGTGTTGTCCAGCCCCCCCGTCCACAGCTTGGTGCCGTCGTTGGAGATGTCGATGCAGCTCGCTCCGTCCGTGTGGCCCTGGAACTGCCTGCAGAGCGGAGACACACAGAAGCACACTTTAGAGACACACTCACAAAGACACACACACACACACACCTCTGGACTCCACTGGCTACTCGGCCTCCTCTCTGCACACACCTAAATACTTAATTTTTTTATTTAATAAAAGCTAGGTTCCTTCCTTTCCTTCTACTCAAAAACGACTCTTTATTCTACAAAGCATGCATGGCGCTGTCATTTTCCAGTAGCCTGATTTGAGGTCATTTAAGTACACTAATCAAATCAACAAGCATAGCCTAATATGCCTGACTAACTGTAGCTAATGCGTCACATGAAAGTGTTTTGTTACACTTGAAAGAGAGCGTGCACTTTAAGCTCACCACAAAGCAGTCCTCAGAACAAAATACTGTTATTAACGGGATTAACACTACAGCAAGTTCATTTATTATGTTATCTATTTATAACTTATTGTTAATAATCCTGTGGTTAATAACACCATTGGTTTTTTTGTAAGGAAAATACCCATGTTCATAAAAGTATGTCAGCATTCAGAACTCTTAACGCGGACACAATAAGTGGATTGAAACACATCTGTAGCTCCGCCTCCTCTGTGCTGTTCTTCTATGCTTTTGTTGCACATCTACAGTTTGCTCTTCCCTCTCTCTACTTTATGATTGACAGCGTAGATGTTGACATTTCAGAAATTCTTTTTCTTCTCTCTCTGTGCAGTCGTCTCCATCTTCTCATTTCCCACTCCATTGCCTCTCGTCCTCCCCCATCTCTCTCTCCTCTCTTTACTTCCTCCTCTCACGTGACTATCAGAGTCCGGCTATTTGACCAGTTTCCATGGCATTTACTCAAACTCCTCCTCTTACTAAGTGGTGGCATGTAATCAAGTACATTTACTTAAAGGGGACCTATCATGCAAAATGCACTTTTGTACGTCTTTTATACATGAATATGTGTCCCCGGTGTTCCAGGGAACTCACCAAGTGTCAGAAAACACAACCCTCTCTATTTTCCTCCATACCCAAATCTCTAAAAAAGGGGCTGCAACGGATCTGATCAAAACTGATCCAGATTTGAACACTGTCCTGACGTCAGGACAGTGGCGCTACGGCTATTGGGCCAACTCCACCAATCAGGAGGAGACAGCCACGGCCATTGCCGTTCGAAAGCGCTGGAGACGCTGTAGTACATATGCCAGGCCAGTAGATGGTGCTGTTCTCACAGAATCAGCCCTTACAAACACAGAGCTAGAAATGGTCAAATTGAGCAAAATGAGGCATGGCTAAAATGCATGATCTGTTTGGTATTTTGAAGAAAAAAAAAAGTATAAATATGCCTTATATAGGTATGGTCCTACACTATATTATTCAAATATAGCATGATAGGTCCACTTTAAGAATTGAACTAGTATTTTCAATTCATGCTACTTTATATTTTCACTTCACTTCATGTTTGAGCCAAATGCTGTACTTCTTACCTACATTCATTTGACATCTTATTTTACTAGCTACAATTAAGATTACTAACATCAAATATAAATAAACTAATGAATTATGATATATTATTAGAGGTTAGGATACCTAGCAGGATAACAAGTCACTCAAATAAACCTTACCTTTACTAAGAGCAACTTGGAATGATACATACAAACTAATGCATCACTAATTAAAAACACAAAAGTTTATGACATATGTTGTACTTTTCCTTTTGGTATTTACTTGAATGAGATTTTGAGGCGGAAATGTTACTACATAATTTACACTGTAGTGTTCCTACTTCTACTACAAATACTCGAGTGCTTCCTCCCCCCCCCCTCTCACCTGACCAGCGTCTGGTTGTGGAGGTCCCAGACCACGATGTTCCCGTCGCTGCAGCAGGAGAAGCAGACCTTGTTGTCGGGGGAGATGGCCAGAGCGTAGCAGGCGGGCGCCGACGACGTCAGCTCCGCCTTGATGCGAGGAGTGGGCGTGGCCAAGTCCCAGATGGACAGCGTGCTGGCCTCCCCCCCCACGATCAGGGTCCGTCCGTCTGAGAGCAGCTTGCAGGAGCGGATGTAGTTATCCCTGTTCTGATGGGATAGAAACAGAAACATTTATATCCAGTAATATATGTTGCAGCGCTCTGTAACCGTCTGATGACAAAGGGATACGGAGGTAACCGCGCTGCTACTGAGGCAGAGCAATACATAGAGAGGCTGCAGGATCTGGCTTTAGGACAAGAACACAAAGTGATCCATCCTCATCATGTGGGGGAAACAAGAGGATCATAAAGCAGCATTAGTAGACACCAGAGGAGGGAAGTAGTGGAGTGCAAATACTTCGTTACTGTACTTAAGTACATTTGTCTGGTATCAGTACTTTACTCCACTTCTTATTTTTCTGATGACTTTCTACTTCTTACATTTTGAACACAAATACCTGTACTTTCTACTTCTTACATTTGAACCCAAATACCTGTACTTTCTACTTCTTACATTTTGAACACAAATACCTGAACTTTCTACTTCTTACATGTTGAACACAAATACCTGTACTTTCTACTTCTTACATGTTGAACTCAAATACCTGTACTTTCTACTTCTTACATTTTGAACCCAAATACCTGTACTTTCTACTTCTTACATTTTCCAAACATGCTGGTTCCTTTAGTTTGAATGTGTGTTTGGTGGCGTGATCATTATTATTTAGAGTCATTGCGTGCCTATTGATTTGAACACGATCCGTGTATCCATCATTTCCTGGTCTTCTCTAAAGAAGAGGGACCAATGAAAACGTTGTCATGTTGCCGTTGTTCAGCATGGAAACATTCATTGGCTAACAATGACATTATGGTTCTATTAATATAAAGGGAGGTCAGGTACTCTTTAAAACAGCTGCTAGTTATGGGTACTTTTTACTTAAGTACATTTCAAAGCCCTCTTTACTTTTACTTGAGTAAAGAAGTTTAGTCAGTACTTCTACCAGAGTATTTTTAGACACGAGTATCTGTACTTCTACTTCAGTAAAGGATGTGTGCACTTTAGTCATCTCTGTTAAGACACAAGATGGACAACAGATGTAAGTATGAGTGCAAAACATCCGCCTCTCCTCACCAGACAGTCCAGCTGGGCCATGGGGCTCTTGCTCCCCGGCTGGCTGATGTCCCACACCTTCACGCAGCCCTTTCCTCCGGTGTAGACGTGGCGGGTGGAGGTGCTGATGGTGACGGCACACACCACCTCTCCGTGGTTCAGGGTGTGGATCTGACGGGCGTGCCGAGGGATCCCCGGGCCCAGCAGGGCGTCGGGGGGGAAGGGAACCGGCTGCATCTGGCCGTCTGCGCTCACATGGAACGAGTAGGCTCTGCGGAGAAACAGAAAGAGAAAAAGATGAATACCAAAATAAAAGCTGCAGACTAAAACGTTCTAAGATGCAGGAGGTGAGAGGGTGTTAACATCTCATTTCTGAGTTTTGTTTCTTAAAGTGGAGTTGTTTAAACTAAAAGAATAACATGGGGACAATGTAAGACTGCTGAAGAATACAGAACTCTTGTGTATAGACATTGTCTCCTCGAACTTCATTATCAACTGCAACTTGTGATTTCTGCATTTCAGAGAAACACTCCACAGACGGGGGGGCGAGTGACTCAAATCTGACATTTAATAATGACATATGGACAGAAGAATACTGGAAAGTACTCGAGTCTCTTGAAGCTGCTCTGCACTCTGACGTGACTTTGCCACTCACCTGCAGAAGCAACATACATACCCCGGAGAACAGAGGGAAGGGGAACCAGACACTGAACTTACAAAAACATTAACTATTTATTTGTAAGTGCTTCAACGCTTTTTTATTTCAATATCTTTCTTCTGACTTTCCCCTTCAACCTAATGCTTTGTTTTCCTTCTCTTGTGTTCTTGTAATCTGAGCAGAACTTAAGTTTACAGTGAACAGGTGAAGATGTATTGATAGAGGAAACTCACGGTTTCCCAGCGGCGGCTGACTGCAGGCTGGCAGGAAGCCCCCTCATGTGCGGGTGTGGAGACTCATAGCCCACCTGTAGGAGAAAGAGACAATCTAACGTGAGAAAAAAACACCTCAAAAGATCCCTGTGTTCACGAGAGAGTTCACTCATAACAAAAGAGATCAGATAAAAGCTCAGAATGAAATGAGAGCATGGTAAAGCTAGAGACTTTTTAAGAGCCAAGGTTATATATTATTGCTCTGCCTCTCAAACACTCCCATATATATATATATATATACACAGATCCCTCTGTGTCCTCTGTGACGGGTTTATCTGCTGAGGTGTTACATATGACAGTGACACAAGGATGACAAATGGTCTTCAGCGCGTGGAGCTCACCACAGGGGAGCGTCCGTATCCTGCGGCGGCTGCTGCTGCTGCTGCTGCTGCTGCCGCTCCGTTCATCTGTGGGGAGACCAGGTGGAGGCCGGCCCCGTACCCCGCCGCCACCCCCAGGTCCCCGTTCACCCCCGGGGGGAGGCCAAACGCCCCCGGAGGGTACGCTCCCTGCACCGCCAGGGTGTTCCTCAGACCCAGAGCTGCAGGAGGAGGAGGAGGGGGAGAGAGAGAGAGTCAGTTCATCATGAATCATTTAAGAGAACAGAGTATTGATTCAGGAAACAACATGGCAGTTATTCAGAGATATATATAAAGACAGCTGAGGTTATGGGGGGATGTTTAGATTCAGTCTCCAAATACAGGGAACAGTTGGATACATGGGTAGCTAAAGCATGCTAGCTAACTAGGTAAGGCAAGTGTATTTATACAGAACCTTTCAACACAAGGCAATTCAAAGGGCTTTACACAAATAAAAAACATGAAGGGGGTAGATAGATAGCTAACTTTAGATAGGTAGATAGCAGTTTTCTCAGGCAATAAAATATTGAAAAAGATGGAATAGAGTACAAATGTAATACAATGTAAATACATATAAACAGCAAATATCTACATATAGAGTAAAAAGACATAATCAGAAAGAATACATGTACTATAAAATCTGAATATATACTACAGCAGCAAAAAGGTAGACTTATTCCTCATTTCAGCATAGAGTGACGTGAGAGTGACTCCCTGTCCGTCCCTCTCTCTCCCCCTCTCTCTCTGAGTGAGACAGTGACTGACAGGCTGTGAACGAGCTGCTGCCATACAAAGAGCTCAACGCCACTAAACAGCACAAGACCACTACTGCCCCCTGCTGGCTGCCTCACCCTCCTGCAGGGAGACAGAGAGAGTGTGTGTGTGTGTGTGTGTGTGTGTGTGTGTGTGTGTGTGTGTGTGTGTGTGTGTGTGTGTGTGTGTGTTCATGTAAACGTCCCACATCATCGGTCTGTGCATGTAGCTGCATTTGCGAGGGTGTACATATGCATGCATAATGGTGTGTGTGTATGTGTATGTGTGTGTGTGTGTGTGTGTGTGTGTGTGTGTGCTCTAACAGGTGATGCGAGGAGAAAAAAGCGCTACAGTGAAATAGATGGAGGCTCATTATGAAGCCGCTCACAGTCACAGTCCATCACCTCTCCTAATCTTTCCATTTAAAAAAGTGAGGGGCGCTGAATATTTTTGCCCACAGCTGCTTATTAAGTCCAGATGGTTGTGTGTGTGTGTGGGGGGGGGGGGGGGGGTAGGCTGGCTGACACTCATACCAACTACTGCTGCTCATACAGTCACTGAAACAGAGCCAGTTCAGGATAAACATTCTGCAGAGGTACATTCATATTTCCATTTCTAATTGATGCTGTGTGCAGAGGAGGGGCGGAGAGGTTTGCCGTTTAGTCTCCTGAGTTTCCAGTGATGTAGGCAAGATTCATATTTTAACCTCAAACTAACTTTAGGGTTGTGAAGTTCAATGCCTGATTTATCAATTAGGCAGGGAAGATGTTGGGGGAATAAGAGCCATATAAGTGGAGGATCTTACCGAGGGGGTCGACACCAGGCTTGCCGGGCACAGGTCTGAACTGTGGGGGTCCGCTGGGCCCCGGGGTGTTGGACTCTTGAGACATGGGGGTCCCCGGCTTCATACCTGGAGTGCTGGACTTCTCCCTCTGGGACAGGAGAGAATAAAGAGACAAGGGTTATTAAACTTAGACGGAAAAAAAGGACTTCATTAAAAATAACTTGAATTCCTCATTGGTGGCGCTGTTGAGCCATTCTTTACACTGCTATGCAAGACCTAGATTTTACATGTGTTTTCATCATATGTTTGAGTTTATTGTCGAGTTTGATCCAGCTTGGAGTAACATCAGGCCCTCACACAATCTAATTGTTTCGTAATAAAAAACTATAAAACTGATAATTATCAACTAACGCCTGTTGTCAGTGCATTGTCAAAGCATTGAACATTACATGACATGTCACTTGTTAGACGCTTTTTATCCAAAGCGACTTACATACTCAATACTGTGGGAAATCCCCACAGGAGCCATTTGGGGTGAAGTGTCTTGCCCAGGGACACAACGACATGCTGACTGCAGTGGGGTTTGAACCTGTGACCTCCTGAACCTGTGGCCTCCTGATCCCCATACCAAGGCTCTATCCACTGCACCACACGCCTCCCGTTGAACCATGATGGATACATACATATATATGACACATGTTCTACATGGATAGTGATAACACGTATCATATGTCTTTTCTATCTTATCTGTCCATGTCTGTGCTCCATACAGCTGTGGGGGTGTACCTGTGGGGGCTCTTTGCCGCGGGACGGGGAGGGTGCGCTGCTGGAGGAGGCCAGGGAGGCCGGGCTGGCCTGGGGCGGGGCTTCTTTACGGGACGGGGGCATCTTGTCCAGGCCGTTCTCCCTGGACGAGTAGGACTGCACACTGCGGGGGGACGAGGGGTCCTGAATTCAAAAACACACACAACTTCATTAAACAGGACAGGAACAAGAAGCAATGGCGGTTCATTCAGTCAGTGTTTCAGTACTGGGAACACAGAGGGTCGCATGGAAATCAATCTGTGTCTCTTTCTGTTCTCATGTGGCAACTCTTTTCTTATCTCGGATAACCATGGTGACTTTTCTCAGATGTGCTAAATGTCTCCAAGTCAGACTTGCACAAATGAATGCTGGATCTTGCGTTAATGACTCCTGTTCATACTGACCATGCCAAAATCACCTCCTAATGTTTTCAAATGTCACTTCACTTCAAGTATTATTGTTTTTCAGCTTCAGTAGTCTAAGTCAAATGTAAATAAGTGGCTGTCTTTTTACTACGACATTTATGTTTTTCTGTAGAAATCTGTGTGTGGAAACACAAAGGAGCCGAACAGTAGCTTTCTGTAAACGTTTGCAGAGAACAAGGACTGTAGATATTGTCCTCCATCCCTTTGGAAGCACATTAATGACGAATGTTGAAAGAAAATGATTACAGCGAGAACATTTCAGCATTAGTGTTATATGAACAACAGAAGCTTGTTTTAAAAAACAGGCTTAAAAAACAGTGAACCTATCCTTTCACTGCTTATGCTATCTATTGTTGTTTTAAAAGAAGGTAGGATAAATCCCTGGCACCAGAAGACTTTTTCCGGACAAGACCCACCCAACACGTCAATGTAAAAGCTTTCGGGAACTGTGTCTATTCTCAGTTACTGTCATCTCATACAAAATGGACTCTTACATATTCATTTGGGAGTCAAACATAATCATTTTAAGTACAAAAAAACAATGATTTCCATCTTTATATTATAAAATGTGCTATGCGTCTTGTCTGCATTCAGTCATAAAAGTCATACATACAGGAGTGTACATAAACATGTAGGAAGCGCAAAGAGTGTGTATGCATATGTACTTTATAGTTGTTCATATTGTGAAATAATAAGGGCAGGGGTAGAGGAGAAGAAGGGAGGGAGGGGGATCATTATTATTATTATTTATATTATTCAGATGTTCCTGTTAGGTGTGTTTACATGATGTATGCAGATGAAAGCGTTGAGGTGAGGCAGATAAAGGCCGGCGGCCGGATACTAACCTCATCCACCACCAAATTATCATCACTCTTATCCGCATCGCTGCCCTGTGAGAGGAGAGAGAGGAACATTAGATATTCCCTTTTTACAGTTTGATGTATGTAGATTACATGTAGAAATATACAACACATACAGTCATGCACAAATACAGGTGTGCGAGTGTGTGAGTGAACACCTTTAAAACAGTTGTATTAAACATCTTCTGTTTTTATTTGCATTGCAAACAGAGGAATATCAAATATATCATCTTGAGATTTTATAGCTTGAGATTTTTTAAATGCAATGGACAGTGCAAATGTGTGTCATTAGTTTGAAATGTAGGGAGGTCAAATCCTCTCAAGGGCACTTTGGCATTTGATATTGCTAGCGTTCTCGAATTGAATAGCTACTAGATATGAATTTGTCCCACAATAAAAAAACATTCCTTTTCAGAACTGAATAGAACTGCAAGATTTGTAAAAAGATAATTAGTTGTGAATATCTTTGAAGGATTTTCCCGCTGCGATGCGATATGATTGAATCATAACTCTCATTATCGTAATAGAATATAATAAAGAAGCCCTTTTTATGCTCATTTTCAGGCTCATATTTGTATGTTGTGCCTCCTCCGTCTGTCAGGAAAGGGAAAACACACAAAAAAGCACAATAGGGCCTCTTTAAGAGATGTGTTACTTATTCTATAGAATATGATTTATAGGGTTGAAATCTCTGCAGCTCCACAATACTTCAATTAATAAGGTATTTTACACATTTATAGCCCTTCAAATGTTTGCTTCCATATTGTCAAAGCCGACATAATATCTGTGACTATTTACACCTGACTCTTACGCTCCTGTTTCTAGTCTTTGTCTTAAGATATATCTACTTGTTTGGCTTTAGGGGACACTACAATTGATGCGTCTGCTTATCCACAAAACCGCCAATAATACAGTGATGGCAGCAGATACAGATGATTTGAAATACGGTTGATAAAGAAGAGCACGATCCGAGGTATGCAGTATAGCAACACCTGGTCTTAGGAGGCAGAGTTGTGTGAAACTGCAGGTGCTTAAACATTTAACAGTGTGGAGAAAGAGCCTCACATAGTCAGTCATGAACTCCTTCTCCTCAGCTTTCCTCTTCTTGCCGTTGCTGAGGTATTCTGCCGCCCGACCCTTATCCCCATTGGACAGAGAGCTCTGCAGGAGGAGAGAGAGAGAGAGAGAGAGCAAGAGGGTGAGGCAAGCAGCAATAAAAGGGGGAGATGTGCATGGAGGGGAAGGCAGGAAGGAGTGAGGGCAGTGAGGGAGGAAGAGGGTGATAATGAGGTGAGAGGGACTGCATAAATCATGTCAGGCTCATAAGCTGCGGAGATTAATGTGAGAGAAGAATATCAGCCGGCATCGACCGGCGGCTCGCTGGAGGAGAGGAGGGAGAGGAGGGAGAAAGAGAACGCTTCAAGTTTTCTTTAGGGCCGCAGAGAAGACTGGGGAGCAGTGAGAGTGTGTTCTGATACACAGCTTTTTAAATAACTCAACCGTCATAACTTTTAGGCAGTGTTGAAATAATGCTGAGATCTGAATCGTCCCCATACAAGGATCAGCTTCAGTGACTGAACACCAGTGTATGGTATGAATATATTTAAGTCTCTGTCGAAGTCTCACATTTTTGTTGATTTAACGATATGTAAATTCTTAGAAAAATAATCTGCACATATTTAGGAAAATCAACTAGTCATACAATTAATATTTAGTACAAAACTGTAGAAAATGCTGTTTTCAGTCACAAATACGGACATTTGCAGCTAAATAAACTCAAAAAGGCTTTATTTTACGGGAATGTAAGCATAGTTTAATAAATATAAAATATTGAATAAATATCTAAGGAAATTCCCTTTAATTAGAATCGTAAAAAGTATTACATAAATGTGTAAAAAGTATAGTAACGCATTTTCTAACTGACAAAAAAAAGCTGACTTTTCTGGTTTTTACAGCCATAGAAAACAGAAAACCTGTCCCCACGGAATTTGCCGACAGGTTTTTTTTTTAAACCTGCTGAACAATTGTGTGGAAGACTGTGCGTGTACTTGATATAAATGATTGTGTGGTACTCACTGGTCCTGCTTCACGGTCTGTTCATTCCAAGAAGAAGCACCACAACACATCCAGGAATCGGCCACAGGACAGCAAGTTCATAAACACAACACACACACACACACACACACACAGAAATGCATCATTATCTGCCATCACTTTACGTCACTATACAGCTGATGACTCAGTGGGAAAATATCCCAGAGGAGTGTTATTATCAGATCTCTCCTGTGCCCTGCCAAAAACTCAAAGCAAAGCTAATCGTCGGGATCCAAGCTCTGTGTTTACTCTGCACCACCCCCCCCCCCCCACACCTCTACTCTGAGAAACTAATCCCAGACCACCATTCATTAAGAGCAGGGGTGTCAAACATATGGCCCGTGGGATGTATAGCTTTGCATAGTGTAAACATTACAATGAAGAATTTACTGCAATTTTCACAACTTGTATGTATTTTGTATGTCTACATGTACAAGGCAGGGGGATCACTTCTTCCATAATAGTTCCCACTTCAGTTTGTATGGTGGTGTGTCAGTGCAGCTGGTCAGGGTGTAGAAATGAGTAGAAAATAATTTCTAGAAGTTGTTTTGATCGTAAAGTAAAAATACTATATTGTTCAGTTCCAGATTCCTGTGACTAAATATATGATGTGCCTTTGTAGATACACTGTGATCTGTAAGTCGTAATGCACATGTGTATTCAACCCCGATCAAGAGTTTTAAACTTTCAGGCACAGGAACCAAGAGAGACGAGTGAAGCATCATTCAGAGTGTTGCTGTACCTCTGTGGTGCTCCGCGGCGGCGGCAGCGGCGGCGGCTGCCTCCAGGTGAGCTCGCTCATCTTTGGCAGCCAGCTGAGCCCCCAGAGCGCCAGACAGCGCCAGCAGGCTGGACCCCCCCCCCAGCGCCAGCCCGGGGTGGGACAGTCCTGACGGGTGAGGGCCCATCGGCAAACCCTGAGCATGCTGAGAGAGGTGCTGGGCCTGGAGCTGTTGCTGTAGAGAGGAAGAACGGGAGAAGTGAAGTAAAAAGATAAAGGACACTAGATGAGATTTGTGTGACTTACAAGCAATGAGGCTAAACAGGAAGTGATTAAGGAGGTAGAAAGAAGAGGGAACTAAGTGCTGCGATGTGTACGAAGGGGCAACAACTGAGATAGTGGTAACCAAATCAGTGTGATGGGAATACAAAAGAAAATGTTATAATTCAAAGTCAATTTAACTATATAAATCCTATTTGCACATGAAATATTTGGAAAAACTCAAATTTGATAGGACCCGTTATGTAATCGTAGCAGGTAATGCCACTTGAATACAAAATAATTCAAAATAGTCATCCACTTATAAAGATAAGTCTGTATATTTAAGAATGGGCAAGTGGATGTTTGCCTCAATAAAAGGAAAAGAAAGGAAATTCAATTAATGGTGGGATAAGGTACACCCGCTATGAGGCAGAGGGGGGAGCCCACGTACCCCTATCGAAGCATTTAGCTCCCCCATGGTCACCTGTTTGGCGCGCTCCATGGCCTGGACCACCTGTTGTTGATGCTGTGGGACAAACCAAAAGGTCAGTAAAGGCAGGTGGGTTCAGAATCAAATTAAAATGTGTTCTTTGTGCTCGGTCAGACAGGAGAGAGAATGGGCTGAATACTGTACACAGTTTAAGTGTGTGTGTGTGTATATGTGTGTGTATATGTGTGTGTGTGTGTGTGTGTGTGTGTGTGTGTGTCACCTCCTGTGACAGGAATGGGATGAGCTGAGCACAGATCACGTTCAACCGCTTGGCAATCTCCGTCTGAAAGAAACAAAAAGAAGATCCTGTTGCTTTGATGAATAAACACACACACACATCCGCAAAGCTAAGATTGAGCTTGAACAAAAAGGAGACACACACTCCTAAAGGTTAACCACACACACAGCGTGGCCCGTTTCTCCCAGGGCCGGTGTGGTAAATATTTCAGCTGCTTACATTTGGTCCATGCAAATGGAAACTCTGCCAGGGAGTTTGGCTAAAATATTCATGGACAGCATCTGCTGCGGCCTCAGCCAGCCCACACAGTGTGTGTGTGTGTGTGTGTGTGTGTGTGTGTGTGTGTGTGTGTGTGTGTGTGTGTGTGTGTGTGTGTGTGTGTGTGTGTGTGTGTGTGTGTGTGTGTGTTAGAAGATTCATCATCTTTCCTCTGTGTGTGTGTGTGCGCATGTGTTACTCATGTGTCCTTGCATGTCGGTTTGTCTGTGTGTGCGTTTGCATTTTGCATGCTTGAGTGTGTGTGTGTGTTTCCTGCTGGGGGTCAGTGATTCTTGCTGTGGGTGTGTGTCTGTCTCGATCTGCTCTACTACGCAGCCAACAGCACCCCCCCCCCCTCCCTACTCCTCATCTCTTTCCATCTTTCTTTTCATCAAACTCCATGTATCGCTCTTTCCATCCATTCCTCGTTCCATTTCTCCTTCCCCAGTGTTAGTGCAGTTATCAGTGTTACAAGCGATGTCATGTGACGTCGAACAGACACACACACACACACACACACACACGTTTAGCGGCAGGCCCAACGAGGCTGTTAGGAACCGTAATGATATGCATGCAGAGATCATGACAAGATCATTATGGCCGCAGGCTGTTTTTCTACTTGACAGCTAGACTCTGCTGTGTGTGTGTGTGTGTGTGTGTGTGTGTGTGTGTGTGTGTGTGTGTGTGTGTGTGTGTGCGTGTGTGTGCGTGTGTGTGTGTGTGTGTATTCATGTGTATACAAATATACACAAACACACTCCCCATCCCATTCTCTCTCTTAAGTGATTTATTGATGCCGGACTGAACTTCCACCCCCTCCATTTTTCTTTTTTTTTTCTCCCTCCCTCCACTCTCCATTTTTCAGCCAGGCAGCATGCTCCCCTCCCTCCCTCCATCCTCCCCTCCCCCACTCCCTCCATCCTCTGAATCCATCACCCCCCACCCCAAGGGAGACACAATGATTTCTTGTTAGAGAACTCCAACTACTAAATGACATCTTCAGGAGCGTGAGGAGGGGTTGGGGGGTTGGGTAGGGGGGGGAGAGAGAGAGAGAGAGAGAGAGAGAGAGAGAGAGAGAGAGAGAGAAAGAGAGAGAGGATAAAGAGGGGGAAATTAAAAGAGGGGGCGGAGGAAGGAGAGGAGGAAGAAGAGGAGGAGGAAGAAAAGGGCAGATTGGGTTGAGAAAATGACAGCCAATGAGGATGTGGGAGGGAGAGGAGAAATAAGACAGAGAAAGAAGAAACAGAAGGAAGGCGGGGGCGGGAGAATCGAGATTTGGGGGGGGGGGGGAGGAGAGGGGGGGGGGAGAAGCGGCACGACAAAAGCGATTGAGATGGTGAAATGAACGGAGTGAGAGAAAGAAAGGCAGGAAAGGCAGTGACCTGATTTAAAGTGAAATTCAGCATGGACTGTGTGTCTGAGAGGAGACGGAGGTGGAGGAGGGAGAGCAACGGGGAAATGCAGAAAGAAAAATAAATCAATGGGAAGGAAAAGAGACGGAGACAAGGACGGGGGAAGAAATGGAGATTAAGAGAGAGCAGCATTTAAAAAAGAGAAAGTAAGATGGGAACTGAGAGGAGAGGAGAGAGACTGAAGGGATGGATGGGTTACTCTTCATTTCAAGCTACCGTACACAATGTTTTAACGTATATATATATATATATATATATATATATATATATATATATATATATAGTACACTATATATTGTTATATGTTCAGTAGATTGGTATATTAGAGAGTATTCTAATGTATTCTGTATATTTTATAGTGTTATAAATATATATAATAATATATGTATTTTCTTTTATTCTCTTTTTAAGAAATGTTCTAGGGCTTGTAGATTGACTGTCAAAATGCTGCTGTCACAAAACTATTTCCAAACTTGGGATATATAAACACAGGGTTCATACACTTTTTCACCAATGATTTTCAATGACTTCTCCATGACCTTTACCTAATTTTCCATGACCAAATAAATTACTCTTTCTCAGCGGTACCACTGAAAATGGTTTATTTTAACATGGAACAGGAAAATAAGGTCTGCATATGAAACCTGTTGTGCCTATCTAAAACAAATCAAATAGGCTTACTAGCTTCTACACGCTAAAGCAACTAAAATCTCTCACCAGCAAAATACCTCGTCAGTTAAATGCCATTTTACGTTTCATTACTATACAGTATTTATTATCATTATAGTATTACTATTTCGGCGATTAGATAAAATATAAATTATATTTGATGCAACTTTAATTACATTTCCATGACTTTTCCAAAACTTTGGGAAAAATATTGTTTTCCATAACTTTTCCAGGGCCTGGAATTAGCTTTTTGAATTTCCATGACTTTTCCAGGTTTTTAATGACCGTAAGAACCCTGTAAAGTATCTGGATGGATGGATGGATGGATGGATGGATGGATGGATGGATGGGTGGATGGGTGGATGGGTGGATGGATGGGTGGGTGAGGGGGGGGACGACGACCAAGGCAGTAACAGACAGGGATTTATGACGAGTGGCATTTTTAGAGGCTTGAGGAAGGGCAGAGTATTCTCATCTGTCTCTCGTTGGAGCAGAAATGAATTCTGTTTGTGAATCCTATTAACGCCTCCGCAGCATGACAGCCCTCCGTCAGAGGGAGGACTGACATCACAGCGGCAGAGAGACACGGCGGAAAAGACAGACTAATTTTCCTGAAAATGATTAGTTACTTTGAGTAGAGTATTGGGTGAAAAGAAAGAAGGCAGGTATAATAATCCAAGAGAATAATGCAAAGTTTAAAGAAGAATATGAGGCAGGAGGGTATGAGAGACACCAGAAGCTCACTCACCTGTTTGTGCATTTCAATGTTAAGGCCGTAGGACATCTCGTAATACTGAAACACAGAGGGGAACATCAGTTAATATGCATGAAATACAAAAAATAAAATCACACAGCAGTCATGTGTGGAGCACATAAAGGAGGAAGTTTCATTATTCTTATAATATACATATCCACTTGGGATCATGATTATCTTATTTTTAAATACTGAATGAGGAATGCAGACATTGTGTGAATAGAACATGGTAATATGATAAATTATTAACACAAACTCAATACATACTGTGCATAAAACATAAGTAATGACATCTCCTGCAAACAGTCTTTTAAAGGGGCCCCGTTATGCTCATTGTCAGGTTTCATAACCGTCTCGATTTAGTGCCTCACATGTCTCCGTGCTTTAATGTTCAAAAAGCTCTTTATTTTTCTCATACTGCCTGTGCTGCAGCACCTCTTTTCACCCTCTGTCTGAAACCAGAGCCCAGTCTGCTCTGATTGGTTAGCTGGCCGGCTGTGTTGTGATTGGTCAACTGCTTACAGATTAGCCTAATCACGTACAATGTGTTGGAGCACTAGCCAATAGAAACGTCAGTGTTGCATAGTAATGTCACTATATGTTTGTGTTATGTGTTATGTGTAACGTTGCTGCCTTCTTGGCCAGGTCAGCATTGAAAATGAGATTTTATCTCAATGTTTTTTTATCTGGTTAAATAAAGGTTAAATAAAAAATAAAAGTTACAGAAGTAAACAAAAAGTTGAGGTTTTTCAGGCAGAGGGTGTTTCTCAATGTCGAGGAGGCTTCCTTGGTAGCACATGTTAGCGCTGCTCAATTAATCGCATTTAAAATCGCAATTACGATTATGGCTTGCAACGATTATGAAAACAACGTAATCGGAATAAAACGATTATTTTTTATTATTATAATTACTTTTTTTTTTTATATAATATTTTTTTATTGGTTTTTCAGTTGAATTATACTTAAAGTTCAGGGTAATCAACTGTTAAAAACATACTGTTCACATTTTTTCTCCAATAAATGTATGTTTTCAAAGTAAATGGATAATCGTTTTTTAATAATCGTGATATCAATTATTGACCCAAATAATCGAGATTATGATTTTTGCCATAATCGAGCAGCCCTAGCACATGTGCCTCCGAGTCAGGTCCTTCAGAAGCGAGGCAAGAATCCTTCCTAACCTCGGAAAACGAAGAATGGTGGAACAGGCTAACAGGTGTGCGTCATATGCGAGGCCCCGCCTTAAATGGAACGCGATTTCCGCCAAAGATTTGGAAATTGGTCCGTGCGCAAAGCATTGTGGGGATTTTAAGACCGCGGAGTCTACACATGTGCAGCCTCGAAATTTCCCGCAACGAAGTACGCCAGCCTCGGTAGAATTCCAAGTATCCTGGACATTAGAACAGTCCTTCGGCGGGACTCGATGACGTAGTATGCTTGAAATAGTGGCTCTGGAGCAGCTTTCCTCGACATTGAGAAACACCCAGAGTGTGTAGGAGGGAACTTTGGGATTCTAGCCTTTGCAGACCATTAATATGCACAAAAACGTATATAACACACTGCAGGAAATTGAAAACCACAAAAAGCATAAAAGAGCCTCTTTAAATCAAATAGAAATCTTATAACTTAAATCATGACACCACTTGGCGACGACTCCCAAAAAGAGATGTTAAACTCGCATCACTTCATTTGCTATAAGCAATTTGTGCAACTGATGTACTGAGGCGATTCAGTTTTATTTTATCTGCACAATGATAAAATGCTGAAGTGATACAAATGATAACAACATATTAGAACACAGGAAAGTCTGTTATTATTCTATTTTCTTTTTTTTTAATGGAAACAAAGCCTATGAAAAGCCTCAAACCAACACTGAATTAATCCTACAGTCAATCCCACATGTTGGAGAAAATACTCACTGGCACACCAAAGATGGATTCTTTTTGGCTGAAAGTCATCCCCCACAAATACAATATGTATTCCCATTGTTTAGGTAAAGTGATCTAAAAACTGCGGTACCCATCAATAGATGTGACCTGCTTTTAAAGTGCCGACAGAGTAGGGAAGTCAAAAACGGTTGAATGATGGACAACAATGTTCTTAGTTTTGATGGGATTTGTAAAAAAAAAATTAAAAAAACGTAACAAAAAAAGGTTCAACTTGTGTTGTAAAAAGATTGTGAGCCTTTTCCCTTAAAAGAAAAACAATTACAAATGCTCTTTCTTGACTAGGATGAGAGGTTTCTTTGTAAAAAAACCTTAATTTATGAGTGATGTTATATTTAGGGGGTATTTCAGCTATTGTTTTTCACAAATACATTCCAGTGTGAGCCCATAAAGCTCTCACAAAAGCTTTTTCTTGCTCCTAGCTTCAGACGATGCCAGTCCTTGCACTCTGCAGTGCAAACGTGTCACTAAAAGCACATGCCCCTAATTTCACCTTGACTCCGCTAAAAGTCAATGGCACTTAAATGACCCGGAGGCGCTTTTCGGAAGCCAGACACCCGAAGTGAGGCAGGGAAATTGTCGGCGGGCAGAAGAAGGTGACAGACTATTGCAATAATCATGTCTAATGTGAGTTATTTGACCCTGGCTTTTACCCGAAGGTACAAAGAGCTGTGGGGAAAGCAGGAGATGAATGCCACAGAGAGAGAGAAAGACAGGTCTCTCTCTCTCTCTCTCTTCCTCTACCTTCAGAGATGGACGAAGAAAGGAGAGCATTTTAAAGTCAGATGCCTCGAAAAGTGACAGGCTGACATTTGCTTTTCAGCGTGGCTGGTTGTGGAGAGAGGAGATTGGCAGTCAGGCAGCCAGAGCCGGCTGGCAGGATGTGAGAGGAGATGGCAGGGGTCCTCTCTCTCCAGACATCTTTCCTGGCAGTTAGCACGCTCATGTGTGTGTGTGCAGGTGTGTGTGTTAGTAGCACAAGCCTGCAACTGTGTAGGAGTGTGTATCTATGTGCTTTGTGTGCATGTTTCCCTTACGAGTGTGTGTGTGTGTGTTCACTCCTCTCTCTGTGTGTGTCGCCATAAAAGACGCCTTTCCTGGCAGCTGGCGTCTCTGCTTGGCAGTCGGTGTGCCAAGTTTCGCCTGTTGCTTAGCAACATCCAAACTCATCCTAACCCAAATCATCAGCCAGGAGAGGAGACCTGGCCCGAGCTCGATGCCAGCTACACCCCCCCCTCATTTCCCCATCACTAAAACTTCAATCCCCCCACAAGGCCTCGCTGTGTGCCAAGATTGCCGATTCTTCTTTGGCAGCGAGGGTTCTGGGCGGCCTACAGTCAGTCAGCTGAAGCTGTGTGTGGCTCTGATCACAGGTAACGTCAAGGCTGGAGGTTTGCAAAACAAAGAAACAGTTTTAGCCTTTCCTTCATCCAGACAAACTGCTGATCATGTGTTCTTTACCATAACACAGCCACAAATATTCACACAGCCCTGCCTCTGAACGGCCGACTGCAGAGGAAGCACATTGTTATAATTCACTTATTAAATCAGTGTTTTGCTTGAGTTAAAGTTTAACTTCTATAACTGTCCATGTTGAGATGCAAAAGCTTCCGACTTTAGAGGAATGTCTGCAATGAGTGGGCAAATTAAGCAGCAGTGTCACACCGTGTGATCACACTGACCTCAGAGCAGTGTGGGAGGGATGACTGACAACCAATGACACGGCAGAGAAACTGTGAGCAAATCTCAGTGGGGCTGCAAAGACGAATCTCACTATGAATTACTTAATCATTGTCCTCTTAAACCTATACAATCCTAAAATAAAAAACACACCAAACACAAGTGTCCATCGCCGGAGAAGATGCACTAATTTATTGTTTAGTAAAACCAACAGTCTAACAGCTTTTACACCGAAGGGGATTTTTTTTAATTGTGCAATAAATTCACACGTCGATACATTTCTCCGAACTGTTGTGTTTGTCATGATTTCTTCCTCACACCACCGCAAATGTAACACATATACTGCTCCACACACCTTTAAGAACAGCGTCTTTTGTGAAATGCTTTATTTGGATGTTTATAAATGTCTCGTTTTACTTGTATTTCTCCTAAGTTTTGCCATGGATGGTGTGAACGAAGAACAACGAGTAATATGAATCTGACCAGGCATTTGTCATCAGCTTCCAGCACTGAGGCTGCACACACACCAAATCAAGCGTTGCAACAATTAGCAGGGGGCTGTGTGACGGTGTGGGAGTGTCACTTAGATGGCCCATTTGAGTGGCCCTTATTTGATTGACCCATTTGATTTAAATGGCCCATTGATCGCCGGTTACGTGATTGGCCACCGCAGCGTGACGCCAGGCTGCAAAGTTGATTCTCCCATTCATCTGAAAGCACTTACCTCATGGAAATGAATGGGAGGACTGCATTTTTTTTTTCCCGGGTTTGGTGTCACAGCAGCCTTAATTCCTGATACCTTATGCCCTAGCCACACGGTGACGAAACGGGTCGTATCCGCTACAGTTCTCTATCTTATAGACGGTTCGGCCACACGAGGCGGACAGGGAAACGCAGATAACGATAACGGGTCCCAAGGTGGGTAGATCTGCGGACGCTCTGGGGTGGACTTACAGATTTACGCTTGCCTCGGGGAGGGAGAAAAAGAGCCAGAGCCCTGCCTCTCCCCACCTCTGCTGCTAAATCCACCGCGGAGAATAAACAGAAGGGCAACCATGGCAACCATGCATGCTCTGGAGGTCTTCTTCGCTGCTTTTGGTGTATTTTGTGGCGGGAGTACAGCGCCACTTACAGGCCCGGCATATGTACTACAGCGTCTCCAGCGGGTCGAGCGGTCTCGTGTGGACGGACACGTTGATGGGTGCCGATTGCGTGCGGATGGAAGACTTTTTTGATATCGAATTCGGTTCGTTTGCGTTTCCGTGTGGCTAGGACCTTAGACTGTATATAATGACGGCTGTTACCAAAAGTTCTCATCTATACACAGCTGTAGACAGATGTGGACACACACAGACCTGAAGTATAGCATATCTCTGAAACACTAGCACAAGGATTGCACGCCCATGTAAGTGCTGTTTATTCTGCACTGCTATAATATATGTGCATGTGTGTGGTAGTGTGTGTGGTCTTGCATGTGGTTTTTGGTGGGTGTTTGGCAGCTGTTAGCAGATGAAAGGGATTCAGAGGACTTGGCACAGCACTCGTTGTGGAGAGACGTGGCCTGTGTGTGTGTGTGTGTGTGTGTGTGTGTGTGTGTGTGTGTGTGTGTGTGTGTGTGTGTGTGTGTGTGTGTGTGTGTCTCACCATAACGTAGTGCCTCTGGATCTCAGTCTTCTCTGTGGCCAGTTTCTCACATTCCATTTTCAAACTGCAACAGAAGTAAAAAAAAGACAATGAGTTTTCTGTTAGTATCATATCCAGAGTAAAATAATACACATTGCAATTAGCAACATGACAACAAATTACTCCCGCCTCTTAGTTTCACTCTGTGTCACCTCCCGCTCTCTCCTTCCCTCTCACACTCTGTGGGGGAGGAGGGAGCAGGGTGACGGGGTGCTGACAGCCCATTATCACCTCTGAGCAGAGCAGAAATAGACGAAGTCACGCTTGGAGCCTGAAACCAAGCCAAGACTGCAGGCAGGCACATCCAAGGTGTCTCCCCCCCTCTCTCCTCCCTCTCTGTGGACAATTTTCAATCTATGTGCCCTCCACTCATCCTCATTTAGTCACTTCACCAATTACCAGTCTGTCTCTCTCTCTCTCTCTCTGTGTTAGTCTCCCACTTCCTTCACCTTCCTCAGCACTCTGCCAACTTTCACCAAAGTCGAATGGTCAGCTTTAAGTGGGTCAAAAGTTCCAGTTCGGTCAGGATGTGAAATACATATTTTTTTCAGTTTTAACAATCACTTCCCTGCTCCTCTGTTCGGGACATGACCCGTGTCTGTTGCTCAGTCTGAGAGCAAGTCAGGCTACAGCGAGGCCTGGCGTGGGAGCTCACACACACACACATCTCTGAAGTGATGGCAGCCAAACACCTCTCCCTAGAGTCCCATATGTCTGTCTGTCCTCTATGTTTGCCTTTCCTTGCACCTAAAGCAGTCCCTGGTGTCCTCTAAAACTGGATAATGCCAGTGGAAGGATTTGCAAACACACACACACACACACACACACACTTCCATTTCCAAATGTGCATCAGGCCCAAGCTCAAAAACCTCGTTACCTCTGCAACTCACTCACCCCACCTCCCCCTCCCCAGAGAGGTAGTATATTTTGGGCCTTCTGCAGTTTACTCCGACTTGTTTGCGGGCGACAGATAGATTGATGGGGGGGGGGGGGGGGGGGGGGAGCTATGGTGTGGTGGTACATTGGAGGTGGTGGTGGTGGGGGGGGGTCGTTTGGCGGAAGAAAATTAGAATATGATTAATACCGCAACATTACCCCCAGCCGCAACAGGTAATAACGGCCTCATCCGCTCCCTCTCTGCAGCGCCGCGCACACACACACACACACACATAATTGACTCATTTATCATTGCCAGTCAGTTGAGGAGAAGAGGGACGAGGGACGAGGGAGGAGAGGGAGAAGCACGGCGAGGAGTGGGAGAGAGAGGGCGGTAGAGGTGGTGTGAGAGTGTGGTAGTGAGGATTAAAACCCCCCCCACCACCACCCACCCTATAGATTTTATTACAGTGGAATTGCCTCTCGGCAGAAGTCACTCACAGCTGGGCTCAGGACTAATGCGAGTGTGTGAGAGTGTGTGTGTGAGTGTGTGTGTGTTCATCACAACATACACTTGGGATGAGCTTGGTGTAGCAGAGCAAGGGCTAGACACAGGAACATGTGACACACACACATGACGTGTGAAATGCCTGTGTTCCTGTGTGTTGCTGTGATTGACTGGATTACCAAAAAAAAGTATAAATGTTCTTTAGCGCATTTTTTATTCTTTCTGATTCAAGTAGAGAAGAGCCTCTAAATCTCACATTTGAGAGTCTGGAACAAGAGTTGAGCTCATAGGACTTGATTGCACACTGTCTGAAAAGGAGGGATTCCAACTGGACTGCAGGGTACCCAGCATGGGGGTGAAAGCAGAGGGTCATCCAACTCAAGAAGGTGCTGATTACTATAAGGGTTTGTAATCGAGCACTATGAGCTCAACCCTTGGTGTCGTCGACCCAAGCGAATGTTGTTTTTGTAACAACTTCAACAATTGGTTATCAAAATTGTGATACAAGTTTGAGTCAAAAGTTGATATCAATCTCCATCCACTAATTTATCTTAACTCTCATCCATTTAATAAAGCCTCAAAACCGCACAAAAATACGTAAGGAACTTAATCTATCTACTGATTTGATCCATTTGTCGACTTATGATTGTGCGCAGAGCTGAAATAATAACAACCTATGGTTCATGGATGCATGGTTTCTTACATTATACAAAAAGGTGACAGCCTTTCTAGAGTTTAAGGTCTTTGGAAATAACTGTTTGTGGTCTGAATGTTGACAGCATTCACAAAACCACAACGGTGCTTCACATTTAGTTTAGCAAATTAGCAGCCGCCAGCCACGCCATTAAATACCACTAAAGAGAAACCGGGGTAAAAATCAATGTCTTTATAAAATCAGTCCTCTGTTTTTTTGGCAAGGCAAAATAGCACTATGTATACACACACAAACAAACACACACAAAGAGTGTGCAGGCACTACTTGTGCTTATAGGAAAGACCCCAAGGTCGCACTCAGAAAGAAATAACCATTCCCCACAAAATGGACTTCAAGGAATGAAATTACTGTGTGTGTGTGTGCCATTATGTGTCTGTAGGAGCATAAAAGAGGTGGGGGGGGGGGGAATTAGGGAGAAAGGGGAGGAGAGCGGCGAGCAGGAAGTGGGTATTTCATGTCGAAATGATTGCCTGTAATAATTAGTCTTTGGCTCAGCACCATTTACTGAGAGAGGGAGGGAAGGACGGTTTGGAGGATGGGGTGAAAGACAGCAACGCAGAGAAAAACAAGATTGAGTGAGCGGAAAAAAGAAGATACGACTGTCTCTCTCTCTGTGTGTGTGCGTGTGTGTGCATGTGCGTGTGCGTGTGTGTGTGTGTGTGCCACGGTGGGCTCGGTTCCTCCAATCTTTCACTGGCGGTGACAGGAGATAAGATGATCAGCCGAATGCGCTACAAATCTGCAGCCTGCCAGCCTTCAGACAGCTCTGTCAGTGCAGCACTGCAACTGAACACACACACCACTTGGAGCATGGAAGAGAGTGTATGTGTGTGTGTGCACACTAAACCAATACGTTAATACTGCAAGCATGTAGGCACGCAGAAACAAAATGCACACGTGAGCAGAGCACACACACAAACCTGCTAGATAGATAAACACACAAACACACTAACGAGAGCCCATGGACAGCGAAGCATCTAATTAAGTTCCTGCACTAGAAATGTGCCGACTGCCTTTTTCTGGTCTCCCATGTTTGAAACCGGCTGCTGGGTAAAGTAGAAATGTCAACTCCTTCCTCTCGAGTGTGCGTTTGTTAGCAATGCTTTTACTCTCTCTATTCCCTCGTTGATTATTTTACTTAAGGATTTCTTTTGTTTTAACAGAAATAGAATTCAAGAGGAAATTGGTTTTGAGTGTGAGGCCTGCAGAAATGATTGCAGCTGATAAAACATAATATAATATAATTACTTAATATAATATTAAGTATTCTGTGGCTGCAGAGAAGTTCCAGTATTCTACAGATTTAAGTAAAAAAAGACAAATCAAACGAAGTTCATTAAAAATATCGGGATTGGGGTTTCAGATACGATCGTTGCAAATCATAACAGAATTGCAATATTAGTTCAAATAATTACAAATCGTTATTCTTTCTAAATTGTGCAACTCTACTTGGAGCCATGTCTTTATCGCGGCAAATAAGCTTCATAGCCGAGACAAACCAACGTTAAATACAGACCTATAAGTTGGTAAAGAACACACGCACACACACGTACACATACACAGCAGCTGCACCGGTGCCTTAACAGTGTCAGGAGCATTTAGCCCGGCAGCCTCCAGGTATGCGACTGTTCACTTTACATCACATTAACTATTGATCAGCCTCTCCTCTGCTCCACTGGAAAAACCTTCAGCTGCTCTCCCCGTCTCTACTCTCTGCAAACACACACACACACACACAACAGGGACCCACCCAACTCGCCTGTGTGCTCTTTCATCGTCTCTCAAGGGTGTGTACTAGAGCAAATACACACCTCCACACACACACACACACCTACAGACACACAAAACAAAGCTGGGATCTGGTGGCACAATAGCAGACCAACCGAACCCCTCTCTGCTGCCAGACTCACTGTAAAGGCTGCTCTTTGATAAATGTTTGACACACACAAACACTGAATTCAAATGGGGAGAGGTTTTAGCACACAAACCAACCCACAAATAAAATGCAACACTAACACAAACGACGAACCCTCAGCGCTCCCTAAAGCAAATATCATTTCATAGTTTGGTGATTGACTGACAGACAGGCAGTTAAACACAGCACATACCCGTTTGATTTAATTATATGTACACACACTCTTTCTGGAAACATATAATCTGAAGATGTATTTAATTCAGATCAATTTGACTTCTCCAGATCTTTGTTTGGTGCAGGTCTCCCATGAAAAAGAGATCAATGATCTCAATGGGATACACCTGGATAAATAAAGGTTTGAAATGAAATGAAATGAAATGGTACATTCAGACATAGCTAAGCTCTAGTTAACAGGTCTTCTCATTAGGATTGTTGATGTTGAAAGAGTTAACGCCTTGTCTAAAAAGATAATTGAATAATTGTAAAGCTGATAGAAAACGTTCAGAAATGCTCTTCACAGCTTGCTAATGTTCACAGTCATGTTTTAATTATGGCTGTGACTAACAATCGTGTTTATTATAGATAAATCTGCCAATTATCTTCTTGAGTAATCGTTATTGGGTGTTTACATTTCATAAATGAGTCAAAAATGTCCATGCCAAGTCCAACGTGATTTTCTAAATGTCTTGTTTTCTCAGTTCAAAAGAAAAAAACAAATCAGTTTAAAATGATAAAAAGGAGAGAGCTAAAAACTGCATTTTAGGAATTTTTTGCATGAAGGATTACTTTAAACCGGCCAATATTTGACCAATTAATGACAAACTATTAACATTTATTTGCTGACATAGGATTTCAGGACTTTTGTTAATGAGATTTACCTGGAGAGATACATCCTGCCAATTTCAGAGGTCTCATTATTGCAGCAAAATGTAGAAGTTGAAATGGTGACTAGTGTTGCAAAGGGGCGGAACATTTCCAGTACATTTCCATGGGAAATTAAGCTGGGGAATT